TTGAATGTATTTCTATATGTAACTCTGTCTTACTTTTGCAGTAAAGTCTTCTCCCCCTCTGAGTGGCCTTGAGGCCTCTGTTGGCATAATAACAGTTTTATTATAGATAATAAAACTTAATCAGCCAGCAGTTAAAGCAAAAATTTTTTTAATTTGTGATACACAGAAGTCGTTTCCCTCCTGATGTGTATGATGGACACTGAGGTATTTACATTTTTTTTTAGGAAACTCAAAATTCTCAAATTTACTGCCAACGATAAACCCTGTGTAGCCACTCATCTCTTCTCCACATCTTGAATAATTTCTTTTGCTCTTGTGTAACACAGAGGAGACAATTGTCTCCTCTGTGTTACACAAGAGCATTGTTGACTGCTCTTGATAAGACTCTAAAGGATAAAACACGTTTGTTTTACAGTGATCCCAATCACAAAGCCAAGGAAAATCTAAACTGGTTAAAGATTTTTTTTAAAAGTGTCAAGTCGATGATCCTACAGGAACCCAATTGAAAATCAATGTTTAAAACCAAACGTCAGGGTGAGAATGATTGGCCCGCCAAAGCCTTCAACATTTTGGGACTAAATGTGTGAAATAATGGGTCACAATCACAACTGAGCAATGACTGTGACTTTCTTCTCTATATATTAGGTGCTATTTGTGTCCAAATAATGGACTTATCTGTGTTGATTTCCCTATCTGTGTGGATTACTTAGGTTATTGTTGACATCTGGAGATAATTTCATCTCAAAAATCATATTAGAAAAATATATTATTGATAAAAATTCATGACATCTTTTATATGTTTCTATAGTTAGACAAATTTAAAGATATAGTTTAGGTTTTTCCCAAATGTTTGAAAACACCCACCCACTCCACTTAAAAAAGAAATGCACATGCATAACCCTGTACCCACTACCGAAAGGGAACACTGATTAAACATGTTAGAAAGCGTGCACAAGCCCATTTCTCTTCTTGCATGCTCTCTTTAAAAGTTGCTGTTTGCATCGCTCACACAAGCTTACTTTACAAGATTTGCAATCTTTCCACTTTGTCACTCACCACCAGTAAGAGAAAATTGGGACAGGCACGTAGGACGGCCTTACGCAAACGTGTCAACAGAATGATTGACAATTAGGAGGACCACTTATTTTGATGAACCACCTGGAAAAAGAATATCCTCCACTATACCTTTAAGGAATGCTAATGTTGGATTTGTGTGGTGTTTTGATCTAGATTCAGTTATTTAGGCATTATTAAAATAAAAGTCATTAAAAGAAAAATGCTAGATGTACACAAACGTACAAATTCCCCTGTCAGTAGGTAAAGAGACCATGTCAGTGTGTGTTTTGGGTTTATTGAGAGGTCCTAGTGTGAATTGAGTGGATTACCAGTCCTGCTGCCAGGCTTACTGTTACTTAACCCCTCGATCTCCGTCTCAGTCTGTTTCACAACAAGAAGCTGAGTTGATAACAAAGATTTGATCAGCCTGTGAACTGAGTGGTTTTTAAGTGTAGTTACACACCGCCCCCTGGTGTTTTTACTCCAGTACTACATTGGATTTCCTGCAAGTTGAAAACAAAGCAGAGTAGCCCAAAAGGACAGGATGTTTTCTTCACTGAACCAGTTGACTTGACAGAGGATTTGATCCCGTGACTGTCACGCAGGGTAGCGAGACCTCTATTTGCTTTTTTAAAGGAACTGCGCAGTCATTATTTATTGCCCAGGCTCCTTATTTATCCTTTAAATGACACAATATAGAACATCTTTCAATCTATGTTGATCAGTAAGAATATTGATGGTTAGTTGTCAAACTTAAACAGTTTTTGTTAGATCAATTTGCTGTATTTACAAATTGACAGAATATTGAACTTTTTTATAATCAACATTTTAAAATTGAGCAACATACAATTACACAAGTATTCACACCCTTTGAACATCAGTCTAATCTATCCACAATATGTGCTGCTGATTTTTTTAGGGTAAAGTTGTTTTTTTTTCTTCGTTTACATGACAAGAATAATTACATGCATCTCAGTTTACACAAAATAAAGGTTTATTCATAAATGAAAGGAAACATTAACAATGAAACCAAATTAAGACAATGGCTTACCTGATCTCAAGGTGTAGCTGCTAAATACATCAATGAATCGGCAAACACCTTAATGCCCTTATGCCAATTACATTTTTTTTTAAACAATGGACAAAAAATATGTATTAGTCAGTGACTACTTTATTTATAAATAAAATCTAAACTGATTGGCATGCACTCATGTGTCAATATTTTTCAGTACAACCTTTCACTGACACTTATCCATCCAGTCTGTCTTTGCACATCTATAAGGCATCTTTTGAAACACTATTCTTTATAGAGTAGCCTGATCATCTTAGCCAGACTCCATGATGTCTGGAGAAGTTCAAAGTCTTACCTTAGATTGTCTATGGAATTTAGGCCTCTGCATTGGCTTAGCCAATCAAAGACATCACTTCAAGCCTATTTCATGGCAGCTGTGAGTCGAGGTTTAATGCGTGAGTTACACTTAAACATCTGAGTTGGGGGATTTATTATTATTTTTTATTTTTTTTTGGTGGCTTAACTACCGCCTGTCCATTGAGGATTTTTCATCCTCTTGATCACAGGAGGTTGAGGGAAGCTTTCTGGTACCCAATGAGTTGGAGCCTTTATAGTTTGTGCCTCCAGCCTCAAAGCTGCTGCTGCCAAGGCAGTGGAGGACATGATGACTCTATGAAGTTCCTTTTATATCAGAGCAAGTGCTATGATGACAAAGGCCTGTATCTGTTACTTAGAAAATTCAACAGCAGAATCCACTGTTTAATTGTGTAGAAAGCACTGATTAGGTTTATAGACAAATACTGCAGAACTGAAAAGTATTAGAAAAAAAATGCTTTTAAAAAGCACAGTAACATTAAAATAGAACCCTGTAGGCCTGGTTAGTACAATTCATTTTCTGACCAAAGGTGACCGCCACCCTAGTCTCATATCTGCCCTGTTTTAATCTCCTTCCATATTCGGACCAACTACTCCTTGTCTCTGCTTAAACAAAAAAAAAAAAAAAAAAAAAAAAAAAAAAAAAAAAAAAAAGAGCTTAGAATCTTGGTTTACAACCTCTCTGCTTTAAACGTTGTGGTCCCTGATCTAAGTGCTGTGCTCCTTGGTCTCCTTGTTGCTGTTTGCTCCATAATGTTGTCTGAAAGGGCTTGCATGGTCTTTACTCAACAACTCTTTTGATGCTGAGATAAATAACACATATAACACATGTATGTACTCTGTTTTCTCATATGATGGCTTCTGAGGCATATACATTCCCCATTTTAATGTATATTTACTATTAAAAACCATCATCCCATGCATTTCACAATATTGTATGATATTTATTTTTATGGGCTGCGCAGGGGGTAGCACTGCACTGTACTGGGTCTTTCTGCATGGAGTTTGCATGTTCTCCGTGTGCATGCATGGGTTCTCTCCTGGTACTCCAGCTTCTTGCCACAGTCCAAAAACATGACTGTTAGGTTGATTGGCTTCTCTAAATTCTCCTTAGGTGTGAGTGTGTGTGTGAATGGCTGTTTGTCGCTGTGTTGCCCTGCGATGGATTGGCAACCTGTCCAGGGTGTACTCCGCCTCTCACCCGTAGACAGCTGGAGATAGGCACCAGCACCCCTCCTGACTCCACTTGAGATTAGGCGTGTCAGAAAATTGATGGATGGATCTTTGTGGTTTGAACATTCCAAAATATATTTTAATAAACTCCCAATTGATTTTTTTGATTGCTTTTTTTATGTAACTTGAACATCTTGATGATTTTTGTTGAGGACTCTTTAAGACACTGGCATTTCTTGAATTGCATTAGGCTTGTATCTAAAATGCAGACACACCGCATGGATGCAGCACTTCCTTTCATAAACCCAATGACCTGCAACCTGGATGTTAGAAAAAAACAAGGGCAGACAATCTGTTTTTGTTTTTTACTTGTCTGCTGATAGCAGAAAGGCAATGTGTTTACACCATAACTGTCTTTCTATTGCATAAGTGTAGAGCGTGCGTGCCATAAGTTGCTGACCAAGAATGTGTTGCAAACGCTGTGAGGCTCGTGAAAAGGTCGTGTAAAAGCAGAGACTTATAGTTTTCATGTGGATGTGTTTACACGGGTCTTCTACAGGCAGCACGCCTACCATTCATCCCCCCTCTTCTTCTATTGGCCGTCGAGTTTCTGCTCCGTTCTCTGATTGGCTAATTTCCGAGTTGCATTCGGTGTCCATGTGTGTACCATGTGAGCAACAGAACGCTTCTTTTCTTCTCGCTTAATTTGCTTGGCGATCCATTCAGATACATTACGGTAGCGTTTCAAAGTATGTTTTCTTGGGAAAACCTCCTGGAAATGCGAAGGTTTTTGAGAACATTTTGTTAAATGGTTAAAGATGGTGTCATAAACGAAAACAAAATAATAACAAAACAGATTTTTTCTCCTCAAGTACAAAATGTTCTATCAATTTATTTGTAGCCTCTCAGCATCTAAGAGTTGGATATAGTTTGAATCAAAATGTTGGTCAAAATTAATCTTTCAACTGGGACTTAAAAGTGAAATACGCATCTGGCACTGAGGAATAGTTAAAGCTTGTGATTTTAATCACAAATTCATTTTCTTCTGCCTTCATCAGCAATAAAACTATGTATCCATAGAACAGGAACCTAATTAAGATTATTTGGAGTCTATAAATAATTGGAAATCAAAGTTTTAGTTTGACCTAAATTGTAAAGTATGGGACCAGGCCCGAACACGTGTGCCATAGACGGCTTGTTTTCTTCCTCGCCATTTCCCCTTGCGCTCTGTTTCCACTTCTTACGGTACTGAGAAACTGCTGTTTCTCAGCTGATATGAGGCATCCAGTCTGCTGCAGCCTCCTTCAGTCAGCACTGAATAGGACAGCAGCTCACCGCCTCCGTTTGCAGAGAGGAGATTAGCTCTGATAATCGAAGAAACAGGATGTTGGACAACGAGGATCATCGCTTAGAGAACCACCCGCGGGAGCTTACCCAGAACCCGCTGAAGAAGATCTGGATGCCGCATAAAAACGGGCACATTGCGCACAGACGGGGTAAGAGATGCGGCAAGTGCGCCAACACAGGATGCGACTGGGACAGACATTGTTTTTCAGTTGCCCTTACTTTTAGTTTTATGTTTATTTCCCTTAAGAAAACTAGATTTTAACTCATTTCGACGATCCAAGGAGGGAAACTGGAAGTGTTGCATCATGCTCTGCTCTTCTAATCCGTGTTCACACTAATTATGCTTCCATGGAAAGACATAAGAATGGAAGTCATTTCAGAAATGTAATTTAGGCTTAACCAGATCTAACCTGTATGGGCGTGAGACTTGGCAGATGCTCTTTAATCTCTCACGGCTGCTTGCTCTTTATCTGACTCAAAGCTCTGCTTTCCTCTACTTTCCTTTTTTTGATTTGCAAGCTGCACCCAGTCCCGTCCTGCCTTTAACTTTGGCACCAAACGTCTCACTCGTTGCAACTATTTTATGCAAAGGAGAAAACTTAAAACTTAAAAATGCAAGATGATGGAAATAATTTTAGGATTTATAATCTTTTTGTGTTAATGACTACCAGAATCGATCTAATATTCCTTATCAGAAAATACTATTTCTACATGGGCAAAATTGTAGTTGAGGGGTCCCACTTGTTTACCCTCGCCAGCCAATCACGTCACTTCCGCCGCCCTAAAACCACGCCCCTTTTGGGGGGCAAAACCGGACTCACCGATTCTGAAAGGACATTGTTGAAAGTTAAAATGCTTAAATATCAGAAAAAGGAGACAGTTATGAGTATGAGTAATTATTATCATTTATCATTTTAAAGAGCTTTGCTGAATTTACCCGTAAAAATAGAAATACAATCAAAATAAATAAGTAGATTAAAAGTTAAACACCTGGAAATTCAATCAGGTTAAAGTATTCTTAATAAATAAGAATAAATATAAATGAGCAGCATTGTATAAACAAACAGCCCAAAAAATTTTTTAATAATAATTAGGGATGTAAATATTAATTGTTTTGTATCGATGCATCGATCCAACAGCCGACGATCCGATGCATCAACACGTCCGTAACAGTATTGATTCATGTTTTTGAATCTACCCTCTTTCCGCTTGCACACACTCGCGTAAAGACAGAGGGATTATTATTTTTTACTGAACGAGGTTTTTATAGGCCTAGGTGGAGTACAACTTTGCTACTTCTGTTATTTGCTGTTGTTTCTCAAATAAAATGCATAACGATATAAAAGCTTTCATTGATTTATTTCAAATTTGCAACATTGTCTGGTAGCCTGTAAGGTAAAAAGAAAAAAATAAATAAATCGAATCGGATCGTGGTGTATTATTGAGTAGCGAAAATGATTGAATCATTGGGTCAGAAAGTTGATACTGAATCGAATCGCCATGATGGGTGTGATTTACATCCCTGATGATAATATAGGTTTTAATGAATCACCTAGAATTTCAACAGTGACAACCTGCAGTGACTTTCTTTGCATCTGCTATTAGTAGCTGTGTTTTTGTTTGTTTGTTTTTTTTACTGCCTGAGATCAGCACATTTAAAACAAATTAGAAAGAAACACTTGAATGTCATTGTTTATGTTGTTGTTACAATAAAAACTCCCCAGATCTTTCCCTGACATGAATTCTTTTTTTTTTTCAGACAGTGTCCTGTCTGGGAATGTAGCAATAAGACTAATTGTCTTGATGCCAAAAAGAGCCCAACAGATTTTACTTTACACCACTCCTGGCATGAATTATAATAAATAGCTTTATTATAATTCATCCAAGGAGTATTACAGATTATATGGATACTGCAATTTAAGTAGAACAGGAAAGGAAAACAGAAAAAAAGGAGAGAAGATGAGAGAAAGAGGTGATAAAAGGGCAATAACGATAAAACATGTTCAGTCTGCTTCATCACCTACAAAGAGATGTAAAAAGAACAGCACAACCAACAGATATAATATAAGACATACAATAAAGTAACACCTAGATACTATCGCTGAAGTATAAGTAGTATTATTTAATCTTACATGTATACTGTGATAGCTAAAATTACTTCAAATTTTTTTTTTTTATTTGTCGTCCAAAAGGAGACATAAACACGCTAAGTACCCTGTTGTGTTAAACCTCTTTTATTTAAAGTATCCAGGGTGAATTTAATCGTTTTATGATGCATTTATCAAGCTAATTGATTCTATGATTCTCGTGCAATCCAGCATTTAAATAGCTTAACCTCCAAATTATTCCCATCACACAACGTATTAAGTAATTAGCCACAAACTACTTCCTTGGGTGAGGTAACTCCTCTGACTTATTCCATTAGGTAACAGGGTTTCAATGCAGACACTCTGGAAAGGTATTTAATTGGTTTAAATCACAAACAGACGTAGAAAGTGGTCTTTTTATCTTGTGGGTTATTGTCGGTTAGAAATGGTACAGACACAGCTGGAGCAGAAACTACTGACCAATCAAATCGCTTCAAAGTTTATTTCTGCTACACATTTAAATCAACAAAATGCTGCAGTTTCTAAAAAAAAAAAAAAACTGATAAATTAATAAGTAAATTATAAAACTTATTTGAAAAAAAGCAATGATATAACTAGACACAAAAAAAATGTGTTGAGCTTGTAATAATTTACAATTTTTCATCCTTGCTCTAATCCTAAATAAAGACAATAAAAATAAAATGGAGGTTATTTTTATGATTGAAATTTCAATCAAAGTTAAAAGGTCTCATTCTGTTAGGACATAATTTAAGGGTTTCTCATTTCCCTTCAATCAAGGGCTCCATGGACACCCTTCCTAAGTTTGTTTACACCTTGGACTGGCTCTGTAAATACAAGACATGGCTGAATATTAGAGCTGCACGACATTATCTGAACCCAACCATCACAGGAATATGAGCATGGTGAACTTCTCAATCCAGTTAGATGGGCTATTACACTCTGCCACTGATATACTTTTAACATCTAAGCTATAACTTTAGTGGTTGAGATGCAGAAATTGAAAGTGTAAATTGGGGAAATTGGTGTGCACTTAAACAACAAAACAAAACTGTACATTTAACATATTTAGTCATAAGTATTGCACCATGTTCATGAAGTGTTTGTTTCTTTTTTTCCCTCAGTTTGCATGACAAACTGCCCAACGCTCATCGTGACTGTGGGACTTCCTGCCCGTGGAAAGACGTACATTTCCAAAAAGCTCACCCGCTACTTGAACTGGATAGGTGTGCCAACCAAAGGTATGAGCAGCATTCCAGACACATATCAACATGTTAAGGCGGAGAGCAGCTGTTTGGTTCTTCTTTTTTTATTTAAACGTGACTGTCTGGTTAACAGAGTTCAACGTCGGGGATTACCGGAGAGAGTGCCTGAAGATCTACAAGTCCTTTGAGTTTTTCCGTCCAGATAATGAAGAGGGCGTTAAAATCAGACGGTAAGTTTAATCAGGCTACATAGGTCTACTTATAACAACACATGCAGTGAAGAAACACTGTGAAGGATTACTCTGCTGGGCTTGATTTCTCTATTTGGATTTTTTTTTCTTTAACAAATGTAAACATGTTTGAGTTCAAATGTTTTTTTCCCTTGTGGCTTCTGGACCAACTTTTGAGTTTCAAACTCTCTTACACATCCACATAGAAACATTCTACTTTAACATATGACCATCAGTTTGTCTAATAAAGGAAATGGCAGGTCAAAATCAAGTTCTGTTCTTTCTGCAAAATAATCTCCTGTAAACTACAAGCAGTAACACTCCTCGTGCCCTTTCACAGTCAGTGTGCAATGTCGGCGCTGAACGATGTGCGGCAGTACCTAAGCGTTGAAGGAGGACAGGTTGCTGTAAGTCCCTCCGTTTTAACCCAATTTCCTCCAGCAAACATGTGAAAGCGCTGCAGTAACAACGACACTCCTCGCTGTTCTAGGTGTTTGATGCCACAAACACGACCAGGGAAAGAAGAGGAACCATTATGAAGTTTGCTGAACAGAACGGTTTCAAAGTATGATCGAATGAAGATTTTCCCGTCCAACCTTAAAGTGATTCCCGTTTTTATTTTTATTTTACAGTGCTTTCTTCTAATTACAGGTGTTTTTTGTGGAGTCTGTGTGTGAAGACCCAGAGTTCATTGCACAGAATATCGTGGTAAGCATCTAATTTGATTTGTTTTTTTTCCATCTAATATTATTAGGTTCTCTTCAGTGGTGCTTATCATTAGATAAAAATCAATGTGAAACAGACATCTTTCGCTCACATGTTCTGCATTCCTTCTAAAGCAAGTGAAGCTGGGAAACCCAGACTACATTAACTGCAGTTCAGAGGAGGCCATCGAAGACTTCATGGAGAGAATAAAGTGTTACGAGACCTCCTACCAGCCTCTGGATGAAGATCTGGACAGGTGAAGATGCTTAAACAAAAAAAAAAAAAAAGGAGAAAAACAACCCGATGGTGAAATCCTCTAAAAATTGAGAGATTCTAACCTATTTTCTTCTGCTCTGCTTTCAGCGACGTGTCTTACATAAAGATCATGGATGTGGGCCGTCGGTACATGGTGAACCGTGTTGTTGACCACATCCAGAGCCGAATCGTCTACTACCTGATGAATATCCACATCACTCCACGCTCCATCTACCTCTGTCGCCATGGTGAGAGTGACCTTAACATCAAGGGACGCATTGGAGGAGACTCTGGCTTGTCTTCCAGGGGAAAAGAGGTGTGTTTCCATATATGTAGCTGAAACAATTAAAATTTCTCTCACTTTGAACTTGGGATTTTATGTTGTAGACTAACAGAGGCTAGCAGATAACAATTAAGTCGATGTAAAATAACCAAAGCTACGATGGAATAGTTGAAATTCAAAGTATATTAATTTGGTAAAAATGGCCTAATCAAAATTCTGAACTAAGTCCAAATGGGAATGTGTGGAAACAGTTTAATGGGGATTTTTCTCTGCAACTAATGCAGATCTCAGACTTGGACAACCTTTGTCATCTTGTTTACATATAGTGTTGACAAAACAAAATTACGTTGCTTACAGCAGCGATATAAGCAACTTGCAACCGTGAAATGAACATTACCATTTGAAGTGCAGAAATTATCATTATGTAATGAATATAGGAGCAAAGGAAAACCAGTAAAAAAAAATGATGGTGCAAAAGTGCGTTTATATGGAATGGTTCGGTGTCCTGCAAAATATAATAAACATGTTGCAAAATGCAGTATAACATTGAGTTGTGTCCTATTTAAAAGTATTATAAAAGTTTCAGCCATGTTGGTGATGCAAAGTAATGTTGCGAGTTGATTAGAGTCCAGTTTAGAGTTCAATATGTGCTTGAGCCGTTAAAAAAAAAATACTTCAGTTTCTACATCTTGAAAGCTGGCAGACTCCCAAAAATACCTGCAGCCTTAACTGCATAAAAAGCCAGCTCAGCATTCGACTCTGTACCATTTCCCTTCTTTTCATAATTACAATTTCTTTGTTTTTCAAGGGGTATAAATTGCATGTGGTTTAATCTAAGTCTTCATATTTCTAATCATCTAGTTTGCTAAACACTTGAGGAATTTCCTTGAGGAGCAGAACATTAAAGATTTGAAGGTTTGGACCAGCCAGATGAAGAGAACCATCCAGACAGCAGAGTGCCTTGGAGTTTCATATGAACAATGGAAATCTCTCAATGAGATTGATGCTGTAAGTTAACTCCTGCTCTCCTCACTTCAATGCGTTATCATTTTTCCAAGTAACATTTTAATATCTTGTGTTTTTTAACAAAGGGTGTGTGTGAAGAAATGATGTACGAGGAGATCCAGGAGCATTTCCCTCTGGAGTTTGCAATGAGAGACCAGGACAAATACCGCTACCGCTATCCAAAAGGAGAGGTGATTCTTTTTTTTTTTTTTTTTCTAGATTTTCTATATCGGTAAAATAAGTTTCCTGATATGATGTAACATGTGCAAGAGTGTTCATTTTGTCTGTGATTCTGTGTTAGTCATATGAGGACCTGGTGCAGCGGCTGGAGCCTGTGATCATGGAGCTGGAGAGACAGGAGAATGTTCTGGTCATTTGTCACCAGGCCGTCATGCGATGCTTGCTGGCATATTTCCTGGACAAGACTTCACGTAAGGATTAAAGGGCTGGTAATCCTCCCTGCAGCAGTGTGTCGCAATGAGCTTGATGCCGATATTTTTTATTTATGCCCAATATTGAAAAAATGGTCTGCGCTGTTATTCCACGCCACAACGCAAGAGGAACAATCAGGAACTAGCTGTGGGTCTAGATACGGCCGAATTGGTGAGGAAGTTAGGGCAGGCTTGTGCGACAACGGAGGGACATGAGGGCGAAAAAAAGCGGGGATCCAGGTGCAATAAAGGGTCCCAGCATTCTCATGCACCTTGCTCTTCTAGCTGGTCCAACTTCACAGGACGTTTTCCACAATGGAGGTCTTACAAACAAAACAAGCTGGTAATGTACCAAAAAGGAAATATGCATAGCGTAGAGCGGATGTAGATTTGACCAATCGGATGCCTCCTGTCTGCGGCCCTGTCTGCGGCCACCTAAAATTTGGGAGAGGTGCAGCGGAGTGTCAGCGGAAGGGGTTGGGGCATAACTATGTTCACTGCGACACACGCTGACCACCTGAGGATAATTCAGGCTTAAGTCTTTAAAAGTTATTACCAGGTTAAAGGAGATTCAGTGCCCTACAAAAGTATTCTTACCCTTCAAACTTAATCGAGAAGCAGAAGGAAAGGTCAACATAAAACTGGAAATTGGGAAAGCCTGACATGTGCTTGCCTTCAGTCGTGTCTAATCACCCATAATTCTTTGCAAATGAGCCAAACCACATCATTACTTGATGGAGAGCATCTGGGTTAAAAAAAGTCTTGCCACAGATTCTTAATTAGGAATGGACTGATACAGCGGCCGGTCTATATTTTGGGCCAATGTTAGCATGTTTCCTGTACAGGGGATTGGCCAAAACTTGACTTTAGATCACCTGAACCGCATGTGTATCTCCTCCCTCCATTTGCCACCTATTGTCAAAGTTTTTATTTATTTATTAATATATGTTTCTTTTTGTTTAAATAATCATTATTGCAGGATTTGTTAAAAAGGCAATACCGGTTTAAAAAATCAGTAGCACATATCGGGAAGAGGTTACACTGTTATCACAATAATCGGCACTGGCCTTAAAAAAACCTTTGAGGAATCAATCATCTTTATTTTTTGCAGGATTTCGGTTTGAACTTTGATAGAACCAGTCTAATTAATGAGCAACTTTTGATTTTAATCATTCCTGGCAGCATAAATATTTAGGCTGTTGTCCTGCTGGAAGTTAAACTCTTACCCAAATCTCATGCCATGTCTCGTCTCTAACATATTTCTTCCAGAAATACAGAAATGAGCTCCACTGATCAGCTCTGGTCAACTCTGACCAGCTTAAGAAACACTTCCCCTCAGCATGATGCTGCCTCTTTCAAGTTCTAATAAAGGATTAGTGTCTCTAGAATGACTTGGATCATTAGCTTTCTGACACTTAATGTATTTCGTGTAGACTCATCAGATCTGATAACCCATAAATATGTCTTTAAACCTCTCCTATGGTGACTTTCCTCTTGTAGCTCCTCCATAGAGGCAAAGCTTAAATATAAATAATTTTGTAAGGTACTGTATATATGTGAAGTATATAAACAGAGGCTTGACTAAACCTTTCTTTTTTTCACAGATGAGTTGCCCTACCTCAAGTGTCCTCTGCACACTGTGCTGAAGTTGACACCAGTTGCTTATGGTGAGCATTTATGACTAATTCCTGTCAGATTGTGCTGTCCATTAATAGGTTTTTTATAGACTTTAAGGCTATGTTCACACTGCAGCCTGAAGTGACCCAAATCCAATTTTTTTGGCTCATATGCGACAATCTGAACAACACAGATCCGATTTTTTCCAATGCGACCTATGCCACTTGGCTATGTGGTCCTGAATCCGATACGAATCTGATCCTTTCAAATGCAACCTGTGTCTGAATAGCCAGGCCGCATTCATCCGACCTGAACGGCATTAATACTCTGCAAAGGTCACTATTCTGGGTCTTGCTATGAAGAAGCGGCAAGAAAAACAACAACCATGGCAGACGATGATGCGGAGAGCAGTATTTATGTTTAACCATCCTGAAACTATTGTGTTTTTTTGGTTGGGAAATATTGCTAGAGGCGCTCCAGCGCTACCATCCATGCTTACTTGTCCTGTGATGTCATTGCGTCCTCTACTGCGCATGCGGGACACTTGTGTTGTATGACTGCAGTTCACACAGGATATCACACACAAGTCGCATATACACTCACCGGCCACTTTATTAGGTACCCCATGCTAGTAACGGGTTGGACCCCCTTTTGCCTTCAGAACTGCTTCAATTCTTCGTGGCATAGATTCAGCAAGGTGCTGGAAGCATTCCTCAGGGAGTTTGGTCCATATTGACATGATGGCATCACACAGTTGCCGCAGATTTGTCTGCTGCACATCCATGATGCGAATCTCCCGTTCCACCACATCCCAAAGATGCTCTATTGGATTGAGATCTGGTGACTGTGGAGGCCATTTGAGTACAGTGAACTCATTGTCATGTTCAAGAAACCAGTCTGAGATGATTCCAGCTTTATGACATGGCGCATTATCCTGCTGAAAGTAGCCATCAGAAGTTGGGTACATTGTGGTCATAAAGGGATGGACATGGTCAGCAACAATACTCAGGTAGGCTGTGGCGTTGCAACGATGCTCAATTGGTACCAAGGGGCCCAAAGGGTGCCAAGAAAATATTCCCCACACCATGACAGCACCACCACCAGCCTGAACCGTTGATAAAAGGCAGGATGGATCCATGCTTTCATGTTGTAGACGCCAAATTCTGACCCTGCCATCCGAATGTCGCAGCAGAAATCGAGACTCATCAGACCAAGCAACGTTTTTCCAATCTTCTATTGTCCAATTTCGATGAGCTTGTGCAAATTGTAGCCTCAGTTTCCTGTTCTTAGCTGAAAGGAGTGGCACCCGGTGTGGTCTTCTGCTGCTGTAGCCCATCTGCCTCAAAGTTCGACGTACTGTGTGTTCAGAGATGCTCTTCTGCCCACCTTGGTTGTAACGGGTGGTTATTTGAGTCACTGTTGCCCTTCTATCAGCTCGAACCAATCTGGCCATTCTGCTCTGACCTCTGGCATCAACAAGGCATTTCCGCCCACAGAACTGCCGCTCACTGGATGTTTTTTCTTTTTCGGACCATTCTCTGTAAACCCTAGAGATGGTTGTGCGTGAAAATCCCAGTAGATCAGCAGTTTCTGAAATAGTCAGACCAGACCTTCTGGCACCAACAATCATGCCACGTTCAAAGTCACTCAAATCACCTTTATTCCCCATACTGATGCTAGGTTTGAACTGCAGGAGATTGTCTTGACCATGTCTACATGCCTAAATGCACTGAGTTGCCGCCATGTGATTGGCTGCTTAGAAATTAAGTGTTAACGAGCAGTTGGACAGGTGTACCTAATAAAGTGGCCGGTGAGTGTATTTGGAAATGCTGATGAAGGTTCTCAGTCATCCAGGTCATAGTCATTCCGTAAAAATTCAAAAAATATCCACTGGACTTGGTTTCCAAGATTTGAAGACGTTTCGCCACCTCTCCAGGAAGCTTTCTCAATTCAAATGTCTGGATCCGCAGTGAGTTTGAGTCTTATATAGACAAAGCCTTGTATCGCTTGGAAAAAAGGAAATGGTAACCGATGAATGGGTCGTTTGGTTCCATCGTTAGCCTGTAATACCTGAAACCTGTCTATGATTGTTAAGAGTCGGTCGTTAAGGAGGTATTGTTCACCGGCTGGAGCGGGTAGGTCCCTCGTTCCTCTGTGATGGGGTGGGGGGTTTGGTGATATCTGGAAGGGATCATGTCTATGATTGAATTGTATGTTTTTGGAAGTTGGAAGAGGTGGTGGACTCAGATTCCAACAATCATAGACAGGTTTCAGGTATTACAGGAGATAATCCCCCCCTTAACGGCAATCCCCCCCTTTAACGACTGATCCTCAGAATCATAGACAGGTTTCAGATATTACAGGCTAACGATGGAACTAACGACCTATTCATCGTTTACCATTTGCATGTTTCCAAGCGATACAAGGCTTTGTCTATATAAGACTCAAACTCACTGCGGATCCAGACATTTGAATTGAGAAAGCTTCCTGGAGAGGTGGCAAAACGTCTTCAAATCTTGGAAACCAAGTCAAGTGGATATTTTTTTTTTTTTTTACGGAATATATTTGGAAATGTGAACGGCAACGCAAAAACATTGGATTTCACAAAAAAATCGGAATTGAGCATTAAGGCCTGCAGTGTGAACATTGCCAAAAAGTCTTAAACGGGACCATGCATCCAGATTTTTTTTTCACACAACTACCAGACCCATAATAAACCAAGGCATTACCACAGACAACCAGCTCTCCCTGCAGACCTATAAAGGGATTCATTCTTCTTGCATCATCCACTACCAGCTCCGAAGTGTTTAACTCCTTTTAAACCTGCTGTCAGTAATCTTAAAACAAGATTACTGGATGTTGGCACTAAAAGATTTAAGTTCTAATTTGGTTAAGCTAAAAGATATGCTTAATATAATTTACAGAGCTAATTATTTAATGAAGTGTTATCATTCATTCAAGTCTTGCATTTTAAATCAGAACAGTCCTTAATGCTGCTGAATTTCCAGAAGCCCAGTTACATCACCATCAGAGGTTGAAAGAAAATCTAGCTGCAGCCTGATGAGACTCATTTTGCAGATAAGCAAGTTATTAAGCGTTAAATATTGATTACTTGTCTTTTTTTTGTTGTTTGCTCCTCCTCAGGATGTAAAGTGGAGTCAGTGTATCTAGGCGTGGAGTCTGTTAACACTCACAGAGACAGGCCAGAGGTAGGTATCACAACCAGCATACTGAGAGGTCTCGCAGGAGACACTTGACTTCCCTGCGTCGTCAGCCTCACGCCATCCATGAACCTTGTCCAGATCTGGGCTGGAGGGGAGGGGGGGTTCCTCTCTGTTAGGACACAGACTGTGACTTTGTTTCCACACTCCTCTGAATTGACATCATGTCCTCCTAGTCTGAATGTCCCTGCAGCTCAGCTATCTGTGTTAAACCCTTTCCTGTTAACGGAGAACATAAAGAATGTAACACTAAAAACAACCTTAATCTTTTTACCACTAATTTAGACATTTTCCGTTTTCAATTTTGTTTCTTCTGTTATAAAATTTATGTAATCAGTTTTGTGATTCTATTGAGTCAGTACAGTGTGGAGAGGGGAAGGAACAGCATAAGATAAACAATTTAATGTAGCGCTGATAGTCTCAGTGTACTTTTGTTAAAATCAGAACACATTTCTGAAAACATAAGGTATGTTACACAAAAGCGCAACAGTAAATGCATGTCTAAATGTATGCACTTTATACTATTAAATAACATTTCAAATTGGAGATGCACCGATCGGGGCTTTACTGGTCAATGGGAGTTTATTTTTAATTTCTGCTCTAAGACCTCCCATATCTTTGGAAAATTAAGATTTATTCTGGCTAATTTATTTTCTTTCTGATAGGAATCTAGAATAACGTAATAAAATATCCTATTGGAAGAAAAATATTTTATTTTACCTCTTAACACCTCTTGACAATCGCTGTCAGCCTTCCAATGATTAGTAGAACACACTATAATATTTACGCATGTTTCAGTTATATATAATCATCTTTTCTCCAAGTGTTGGTCATCACCCTTTTCATTAGCTGTTTTCTGCAATTAATCTGACTGGCCAAGGCCATAACAGTTGCTACACTCCAAAAACTAGTTTGATTTCTAATAAGAATTCAAAGCTGTTGCTAACATTAACTGATTTCAATATAATTTCAGTCTTTACTAATCAGACAAAATGTGATACAAGTTCAAGGTTTGAAGTTTTGGATTGAGAATTTAAGAGTTGCTAGTTTTATCTTATTTATTTTTGCACGAAAGCCATTTTTTTAGGCCCATAATTGAAATAATTTTTATAAAAGGAAAAAAAAAGATTTGCTGCTGATTCAAAGTCTAACACCAGATGGAAGCTTCGAGCCGATCAAGAGAAATTTGTCAGATTTTCTTTATCTCTGGCTTATTGGTGCATCTGTATTTTTTTTTCTATGGTTGTTTTTGGTGAATCTTTTTTTTCGTTTGTTCCTAAATTTAAATTTGAGATGAACAGCTTTTTCTTTCTTACCGCTGATGTACGCACAACTTAAATATTTTAAACTTAGTGATGCTGCACACAATGCACCGACTCTTGAGTCATGATTGAAAGCTGCACCTTGAGCCTTAGCTCTTTTGTTTTTGTTTTTTTTTATGTTAAAGTTTGACTTGTGGTATATACCAATATTGTACTTAGTTTAAATTTGCAAGCCTGTGTTTTATACTTTAATCTAAAGCCATTTGTCTTATGTTGACAATGTTAACATGTGTGTATTCTTAATAAAACACGTTCATTTCAAAGATTTTCTGGCCAAATTATTATTTATTTTGTCAAAACTAAAGCAGTCACAGCAGCATATATATTTCTAAAGCCACAGTATTCTTCTCCATTATACATCTAAGTTCCATACTTTTCTCAGTACTGACTTTGCTCAGTCGGATTGGGAATGATCTAATGCCTTCTACATCTTCCTCACACTGACAACTTTCACTCTGATGAAAACCAAACCACGTTCCACAGACACACACATGCCATGGATCTTTTTCCACCCTCCAGTGGTTAGTTAGGCCTATTTTAGCAAATCTAAATTCACAAATAATGTGCAATATGAAAATAAATTATCTCTGCTTTGCTTATCTTTTTGACAGGAAAACAAATCAGCAATAATAATCAGGCAGTGAGGTTTTAATATTGAAAAGCCACTGTAGCGACACTCAGCCACCTTTTCTATATATTTACATCAAAACAGGATATTTTCAAATGTTTCTTAACCAGAAAAATATAACTCGTTAAGACCAACTTAAGTGCTAATAATTACTGTCCCTGTCGTTGCTCCTTCCAGAACGTGAATGTGCAGCGCAGCACTGAAGATGCTCTACAGACTGTTCCAGCTCACCTCTAATTGCCCAGAGTCCCACTCCAGCGGGGACTTCGTTCTGCTCTCTCTATAAAGGAAGCAGGCTCAGCAGCTTTATCCCTCCAGCTTCTAGAACTCGGATCTTTCATTTCTGTAGGAAAGAAACCTACTTGGATCCACTGTAACCGTTGCTGAGATAATCTCAGTATCATCTGTGACTGTAGCACTGAGTCCTGTATGTACTGTCATGTGCTTCCATTGATTTAAAAGAAAAAAACTCATAACACTATTTTACAAACATTTCTTTTATAATAACCTGTTATTTTTACTAACTGTGTTATATTTTATACAAAAGTTAAAAAGATTTAAAAAAAAATCTCCAAGAACTAAGAGCCAGATACAGCATCTTCATTCCACTAATGAAGACTGTCCTGCAAATACAACCTATTAAAGAATCAAATCAGGCTCTAAATGTATTTGTGTTGCTATAATCCAAAATGTGAACTGCAGTAAAAATCATGAGACTAATAGTGTAGCTAACTTTTAACTTACAAATATTCCTTGTATCCTCTGTGAGTGAATATCAGCCTAATAGCAAAGGCCAGTTTGTTGTTGGGTTTGTTTTTTTGTTTTTCAAGTATGGTACTGTGGAAGCTAAAGATTCACATTTCTACCTAATAACTACCTGGTATTACATGTCCTGTATAACTGATGAATATTCAGCTCTGGAAATGTAAACATGAAATGGATGACAAACAATCACTAAAGTGAAAAGTGTACACTTGTTTTTTTATTCATTGCCAGATATTTCACTTTGTTTCATCTGTGTGCATGGGAAATAAAACTTTAACTGATTGCCCTCATAGTTTCAATTTTGTGGCAACAAAACAAAGCAAAATTATATTTATGTGCATATAATATATATATATGTAAATATATTTTTAAAACTTTAAATTATATTTTGTAAAAAAAAAGAAAAATGCTTAATGCTGTGCTCATTACTCCAGATGATGTGTTTTTTGACCTTTGAAAAATGAAAGCATGGTGGGAATATTTAGCACAGACATCAATAATCAGGAGCACAGGATGAGCTTCAGGTTAAAGGGAAGTGCCCCGTCTGCCTGCACAGCCTTACTGCACATCCTTTATTTCTTTACCCCTCTTGAAAAACATCAGGGAGGAGCTGCCCTGCTGTATAGGGCCCACAGTGACGGCCAATATTGCAATAAGGAATGTGTTCTTAGGTCTTCTCTCTCTCTCAGAACTGCAGAGACATGAGAAAAAAAAAGAGGACTGGAATGAGAAATAGGAGTAATTATAGAAAATACCACCCTATAAAACATCAAAGAGTAGAGATAGAAACAATGTACGTTTTTGAGGAACTCCTCTGCCACAATGCGCGCCCTGGCATTAACGGACAGCTTCATTTCACTAATCTCCTTGTCGATTTCTTCCATGAAATGAATAACAAAATCCACTAGTTTGTGCTTGTACATCTGCTCAGTGTGGAAGTTGGTGATGAGAAAAGAGATGTCGTATCCCTGCAAAGCAAAAACAGATAAATAATAGATGTTGCATTCATCTATTCAGGATCAAAACGGAAAAATATTCATTAGAAATATACATTTTTCCAGAAATTTCCTGCATGTTCCAGTAACATTAAAGCTCAAAATATGTTGTCTTTGACTTAAGCTGAACATTTAAAACCTATATATATATATATATATATATATATATATATATATATATATATATATATATATATATATATACACTTTCTGAAGCTTTAAAGTTGTATTTGCAAAATAATATAACTCAATTGGTAAGTTTGCAATGTTAGATAGGCTTTGCATATGTTTTAAGGCCCTTTCATTGGGTATAAAAAAAAATATAGCCATAGTCCTTATGATGCCAGTTCGTCATGATGGCCTTATGCTAAACTAACTACAGTTCCTCCTCTAAACCATAGGAAAAAAGTGAAGCTACACAGCAGTAATGGAAGCAGAACAGCTGAACAGGAAGTTAAAAGTTACACACCTCTGTGATAAAACTGGAAATAAAGTTTCAGTGGCTTAATTGCAAAATTAATTCTTAACATTTTTGGATATTCTGATATTCTGACATCCTGCAGCAAATCTCGAATCCAGATTCTTAGAAACAAATACAGTTTTATAAGTACATGTGTTATTACCGCATGATCTTTGAGTGAAAACTAACTGTCGCTGATGATTTAAGACACTTACCTCCACTGGTTTTCTCCTAAGGATGAAGAAGTTTTCTGCTCTCATCATCATGAAACGCATAAATTTATGGCACAGAATCTTCTCAATCTCATCTGCCTGCAGCAGCAAATAGATTTCCACATCCATTTAAGCCAATAAACTGTTAAGGTCTTAGTTATTACAGCATCAGTGACAGACAGTAATCTAACTGACCTGCTTGATGGCGATGCTCACTCTGACAGAGTTGATGGATCCCTCGATTAGAACCTTCTCCTTCTCGTTACGACTAATGATTACAGGTTGGAGGAGCAACTCTTTGCTACTCCTGGACATGAACGAGAAACACCAGTAAAATACATTTGTTACACCATTAGCTGATGAGTAAAATGAATTAAATGTGTTTAAAAAATCTTTCTCTAAGCTGTGAAGGTTGACTAACCTGACTTCCACCTCTGGTTTGTTGTGTCTTTCCACCACCTGAGAGGAGAAGTTCTCCAGGCAGAGAGCGGCCTGCAGCGTGGCTCGCACAGCATTGAGATATGGACGCAGAGTGGCCGTCTGATTGTTAGGGAGAAGAAGAAGTAGAACAGATCATTGTTTTCTAATTTGCAATGAATGCAACACTCCCACACATGATTAAGCCTGATTGCTGGGGGGACCTTGAACTATGGAAGAGGATTAGGGCCACTGTAAATTTAAAAAAGTTAACCGATTTTTAAATTTAATTTCAGGTTAATATGGGGGGGAAAAAAGGTCAGAATTTTGACTTTAATCTCATAATTCTGGCCTTTTCCCCCACATTAAACTGAAATAACATTTTAAAATCAGCTAACTTTTTTTTTCAGTGGCCCTAATCCTCTTCCGTATTGAACCCTCTAAACATTGCAGGGTAATCAGATTAAAATCAGATCGATGATAAAGGCCACAGTATGTAAATCCGAATCAAACTTAGAGCAAAAAAAAAAAACAGAACCAGCGAGTTGCCACCGTATACGAATAGATTTGATTTTGACAGACTGACGGCTTCCTCTACTAAAACTAATAATCTGAGCTCAATATAGGTGAGATCAGAATACTAAAACTAATAATCTGAGCTCAATATAGGTGAGATCAGAAATCAGCATACATTCCGTGAAATTTCGATTGACTCAAACATAACTTTCACTGTGGAATTTGGAGAATAGTATGATCTATTTCTGTGATACTCATTGAATGTCATCATTATCAGGTAGTCAACAAGGAAGCAGGAAGCTTCAGCTAATGTAACCTTTTAAATGGTTAGAGCTGTGTTAGGCTGTAAAGTGTTTTTAATAATATGCCAGCAACTGCAGCAAGTAACTAAAAAAAAAAAAAAAAAAAAAAAAAATATATATATATATATATATATATATATATATATATATATATATATATATATATAATTTTGCACGTTACATACAAACTCAGACATAAACCTATAATCTCTTTCAGCTTGCTAGCTTAGCTAACGTTAGCATACAAATTATATGACGGGAAATAAATAAATCAACCAATCAATAAAGCTACGGTAGCAGCATAAGAAGACACATTAACATTTTACATATCAATAGCTGTTAAAAATGCATATGTCCTAGTGGTATGTCATTTTTTATCTTACCATTTTTTCGGTTTTGGCAGTCAGGCTAAACGCGGAAGTAGCTGCAGTTGCGTTTTCCGCGTGCACACCGGAAGTTCCTTATTTTCTGGTACACAAATTATTTTATTTGCTTATCTGAATGTAAAACGTTTTTACAGAAAATGTCTACTTGGAAGCATACCGAAAAGTTTTCACATTTTAGCATTATATGCTTTTGTTTTATTGCAAAAAAATATTTTTAATTAAAAATGTGGAATCTGAGGTTATAAAATATAAGAGCTGTTTTACTCTGAAGATGTTAAATGCGAAAGTACGCACACAATTACACAAACTAGCTTCATTTTCTCAGCATTAGATGCATAAAAAGTCAAATTATCTTCATGAGGCTTAAATTCAACAAGCCTCTACTGATTACATTCAGTCTGCCAAGAAAAATCCAAGCATCCAGGTTTAGAGTAGTTTATTTCACTAATCCATTTTAAATAATAAAAATGATCTTCTTCCTTTTTCATTGAAGTTTTATTATAGTTTTACAATTTTATTAAAACTGATACTGAAATAAATCCACTTTTTGATGTTATCTAGAGAGATGTACATGTAGATACCATCCAAGACATTAAACAATTTATATATATTCAATAGTTTTATTATTTGACGTTCAAATTTCCTTTTACAACATCATTGGCATTGCTGTAATGTTTTCTGTAAGGAAAGAAAAAAACAAAAGTAATACCAGGGCAATTTGTTGAATGTTTTCTCTTAAATGGAAAGAAACAGATTTGAGTTCTATACTATCTATACACCGTAATACACAATCCGTTAAAAATATTAAGTACTTAGCCAACCTGAGCTACAAGCAGATAGATAGAACAGCGATAATGAAGACAGGACAGAAGACAGGTGTATGCAGTGTTGGTGATGCGTATAATCTTTTAGCACTGAGGTGTGTCTGACGAGGACAATAACACATACAGCAGTAATAGTAGCAGTACAAGTAATGGTACATAAAAGGCAAACTTTATATATCAAGGATTTAACTTGTTACACTGGTTTCCTAATCAGCGTTTTACTTGACAGAGTAACATATTCAGCAGTGTGAGGCAGTTTCAAACCTTAATCCTGACGTGAAAAGGCAATACAATCACCAGATTGTTCAGAAGATATTTGAACCAAAGAGGGGATGGAAGAGGTATACATTTGGAGCTTACCAAAAGGCATTAGATAGAAGACGTTACCCAAAACATCCCTCCATAACACTTGAAGGCAAAAAAAAAAAAAGTGCAAAAACAAGTGTTTCAGATCAGCTTTCAAATTAACAAGCCAATTACAACATATTTATTTAGGTCTACTACTTGATTTACTTCTTGGGAGAAGGCGCAAAAAACAGAGCGAGCAGAAAGCAAAGAAAGACATTTGGGATGCTGTATCTTGGGATTGGTCAACATCATCTCAACACAGAGCTCGCTGTGAGTTCTGGAGTCCATCCAGATTTCCTAATTGCAGCCTGAACATGGCTCCATCGCCTTGTCCTCTCAGTGTGAGTCAGGGGGAAAAACCTGACAAACACGGCACAATACAGGAGTTCACTCGCTACCGATTCATGGGATGGGAGGTTTCTCTTTTTTTCTTCTCTCGTTATTTTACTGCACTGGATTTGTCATTGATTTATATATGAGGGTGAACTAGTGTATTAATTTATGTACTAAGTGGGGGAGGAGGGGAGGCATACATCCATGTGCAGTATACAGCGTGAGGGGGTGGAGTCAATGGAATGAGCGGTGTGTGAGGAAGACCAGTAGGGATTTTTTTTTTCCCTGGGAGCGAGGATGATGAGATGCAACAGGGTGAAGACACTATGAGAGAAGATGGTCCAGTTTGTCCCTCAGCAGCTGCAGCTTTCTTGGGAAGGTTTAGCTCTGTCGTTCCTATCCAGCTTAATGGGTTCTGGGAATTCATTATACAGCTCCACCTCAGTCTCCTGTAAGCATGCAAAAAGAAAAGAATGTCACTAATAATGGAAATTTAAAGAAAAACCCTTTTGTTTTGTTTTTTCTTATCTGTAACTCACCTGTTTGAGAGCGTTACGTGCAATTGTCTGGAATGCTTGTTCTACATTTATGGCTTCTTTGGCGCTGGTCTCAAAGTAGGGGATGTTGTTCTTACTCTGACACCAAGCCTGAGCCCTTTTAGTGGTTACCTAAATACACAGAGAAAAACAAAACAGATTCATTATTGACTATGTAGATAAATTCAATGTTATGTCTAACTTCAAAGTGGTTAGAAGGGAAATAAGAATCAACTAGCATCACTAATAAAGTGGTAATATCAGGTGAGTGATAACATAGGATTAGTTTTCCTGTTTACATTTTCAAATACAACAATGTGATACACAGCTACTGAGGAGATTAATGGTAAAGATTTTTTTCTCTCAAATGACAAAATGTCCTGAGCACTAGAGAAAATCCCTTTTTTGTATTAACAGATGCAAATTTTGATACCAATACCTCTGATGGGAATAACAAAAATGAAAAAAGGGGGTTTTAAAGAAGGCGGGCATTTTCACCAAGACATTTCTCATCGGCTTGGTAAAAATGGCATGATAATAAATGTGTAAAAACATAGGATAGCATATGTTCAAAGTCAAAGTTTAGGGAAAATTACTTTATAAAGAAAATTACTTAAGACAACTTTTGTCGTTTTGTATACAAAAAGTGTGTACAATACGAAATTTCATTTTGTACAGCTTTCATGACTTTCCATTCCATGAAGTGCAGCAGTGATCAAATTTAAACAGTGTGGGGAGAAAAAAAAAAAAAAAAAAAAAAAGAATTGATATGGAAGTTCAGGGCATTAATATTATGCAGTGTTTTGGTTTGGTATTGTCGGTGTGATGCAGAGTCTGTGACGTGATTCAAACTTTTCTCATCAGTTCAGCTGTCTAATGGCAGTGGGAATTATTTCAGTAACAGTTTAAGTAGAGTAATAGAATACCAACAGGTTCAGTGGTAACCAAGCCATTCGTCTGAAAGCAGTGTATTTAAAATAATAGAAGAAATCCCTTAAGTTAATTCTGTGAATAAACAGGTGGTCCTTATTGCTGCCGGTGGCAGGGGGTCAGTCAGGATTTGCCTTTCTTCTAACATGCAAATAATTTACTCTGGAATCTGTAATATAAAAGCAAGGCTTGTTCATCTCTGCTGAAAGAAGAGTCAATAAAGGATGTTCTCCCTGCCAAAAGAAATGACTCACACCAATGTCAGGAGAAACATGGCTGCCTACCTGTTCCCGTTTTAGTTCAACTATAAGCCGAAACCTTTTCGTTTTTTTTCTTTAACATTATAAAATTAATTCAATAAACAGTTTTTGATGCAACAGTGTCAAGCCTGAGCTCTAGTCGAAACCTTCCACCAGGAAAACATGAATTATTAGTGTATTCTCATCAGTTGCTTCTTTGGAGCAACTACAGTCCAACCTGTAGAGCTCATATTAAGCAGAACAAGAGAATGCTAATACTGAAAGACAATTTGCAATGCATTGACCGTGCTACAACTTTAAGAATAGTAATTTAACATGGACTGTCTCAGGAGTGTGGAACTGATAACAACCTGTCTGTTCTCCAAGTCAATCTTGTTGCCTAGCACCACAAAAGGGAAATTCTCAGGATCTCGAGGGCTGGCCTGGATTAGAAACTCATCCCTCCAGCTGTCGAGTGTCTTGAAGGTGTTGGGCGCAGTCACGTCAAAGACCAGCACACAGCAGTCTGCTCCACGGTAGAACGCAACACCCAAGGACTGAAACCTTTCTTGGCCAGCTGTGTCCCAGATCTAAAAAACAAAACAAAAAAAAAATAAATAAAAAACATGAGGGTACATGAAAAATGAGTTTGAAACATTAACACCTGACTCAGTATTTTAAAGCAGCACATTTTCAATACCTCTACAATTTCACTTCCATTTATTGTAAAAAAAAAAACAAAAAAAAAAAGGAAATATATATTAACAATGGAAATATATACCTGCATTGTAACGAGTCTGTCGTCCACCATTACCTCCTTGGTGAGGAAATCTGCTCCTATTGTTGCTTTGTACTGGTTACTAAACTTTTTGTTCACATACTGGTTCATGAGAGAGGTCTTTCCAACTCTAAGGAGACAGAAGATTATTACAGAAGATTAAGACAATGGCTACACAATTCTAAAAACTAAATAAATAAATAAAAGGAATAAAAGATGTACATTTACTATAATGTGTGAGACAAACAAATATCCATTTCCACTTTTATTTGTGCTAGAAGGTTAAAGCAACTAAGGCAAACACCAAACAAACAGCTTCTCTGTCCAAGAAAATTTCTAAACAGATTTTAGTTTTTCCAATGTTGTCAACTTCTGTCATACAGATTTTATTTCTAATCACAGAATGTTTTTTCCAAAACTGTCTGGACAAACATTTTTACATCTATAAAAGATTAAATTGAACAGCACCACTAGAGAGGCACAGCAAACTTATGCTACATAAGAGATGCAACAATAAAAACTATTAGCAAAGAATTCATAGTAACTCCTCACAGATAGCTGCAGTTCACCATAATCATCACCATTAGGGTAACTTCCATTAAAGTTCCATTGGGAGTGTTGGCCTAGTGGGTTAGAGTAGTGCGCTTGTGCTTTGAGAAGGTTGCAAGTACCCGGTTTGATCCCCACAGCCTCTACTCTGGGTTCCTGAACAAAAAGCTTAACCCCAAACTGCTCCCGGGGCGCCGCAAGATGGCAGGCCACTGTATCCCCAAGGGGATGGGTTAAATGCACGGGCAAATTTCTCCAATGCGAGATCAATAAAGTTCAATTATCATTATTAATACATTGGAGTGCATCAAAGGTCCGCATGTGCATTCATAGACAGAAAGATACCTCAATCAAACAGCAAAAATGTGTTTAATCTTTGTTCTCCATCTATGAATCTTATTAAAACTAGTCGATCAAGATGGGCATCACATCTACTGCAGACATAAGATGCACATGGTGCCCTTTAAAACCATTTATATAAACTGTATTTTAATACTGAATGGAATTATTAGAACAGTAATAATTCCAACCTCACTGAAGGTCTGTGATGGTGAAAGAAAAGGAGGAAATATAACATGAGTTTATGCAACAGAGACAAAAACTGGAAAAAATGTGCCTGATTCATGGTACCATGGTCATTCTAAATACGCTTATCTTTCCCATTCTTCATCCTGTATGTAGGCAACAATAACATCTTAAAACTAAGATAGAAAAAAATAAAGAACTGAATACACCACTCATTTAATTGTCTGCCTATTTCTTTTTAATCTAAAGACAGTGGCACAAACATGAGCATTTTTCCTGGTTCCACATGAGGCCAACAAAAGAAACCAGATGGTTGACTCCACCCAATTACCACGGTAAGGCAACCTACTGAAAATTACCCAGCAAAACATCCTCAGGCTCATGTCCTGTAACGGTATGTGTGCTGGTAACAAATCTAAATAATATAGTCACTAGGTGACAGTAGAAGTAAGGCAATGAACTTGCTGCAAAAAGCACAGCTTTGATGAAAAGAAAAAAGAAAAAAAACAGCAGTCACATGGAAAGTCAAATCACAGTGAATTGTGGGGGTTTTTAGGAAATAGTGGGTAAAAGAAAGCAGATGAAAATGAATTCCATGTTGTGAAAAGATCATATTAAAAAGCATTGTGTTGATTTTCATATTTTTGTTTAGATAAATTAGATAATAATATCTTGATTTACTTCTTAATTACTATAAAATTTAAAACTTAACAAAAGCATTTAAAAAGAAGGTATTTTAGTTTTGGTTTGAACAGAAAATGGAACTGAAATCACTAACCCAAAAGTAATTTAATGTTCAGTGCTAACAGCACAGATCTTGGAAACCAAACTACAGCAGTGACAACAAACCAAGTTCAAACAGGTCTGCAGATGAAAAGAACAGATTTCTAAGTGGAGTCATAATACCATTTGAGGGAGTTGAGGGTGATCTCTGCCTGGATACAGATTATGACAACAACCACTCCCAACAAGGAAGTAGCAGAGATCAGACTAACCAGAAACACTACCCAAAAAAATACCCCTCCTATATTTAGCACTGATCCGTGTTCTCCTTCAGAAGAACAATTGATCCTGTTATGACTCACCCAGAATCTCCCAGGATGATGACTTTAAGGAGAACTTTCTTCCTAGACGTCATTGTTCAGCTGTGTGGAGAAAATAATTAAAGCAGTTAATGTCTTTATATTGTAAAGAAAGAAACAAAACAATGAGTTTTATGAAGTGCAGTGACATAAAAATTCATATTAACATAAATCTAAGAATCTAAGTTGAGATATCTTGTTCCTAAAGCAGTCATGTTTTAATGCCAGTAATTTCAGTCATGCGTTTCCCAAGCTGTTCAGAAAATCACGAGGAGCAAATCTCTCCTCGTCTTTCTTACGCACGCAGACAACAGGAAGTTGTTGCAAAAAGTTCAACCCTTGCAGACACTGAGACCATAACCTGATATGGAGCATATTACTCCAGGAACCCAAGCAAACATGGGAAACAATGAAACCTGAGCTGAAATGCTTTTACAACACTAAGTGGATGCATCAGCTGACAATTCTGATTTTCATCCAAGGTCAATAACAGCTGAAAGAAAAACTAAGCTTTGTGTTCTTTGACAGCAGCAAGATTTTTGAATTTCATCGATTTTTACCATTGGTGCATCAAAGCATGTGTCCAATAATCTGTTTTTAAAAATGAAATACAACAAAAGGGTTTGATTGAAACATTATGTATCAATAAGTGAAAAATAAATGACATTTTGACAATTTACATTTTACTGTACATAATATACTGATTTTTTTATTTTGTATTTAATGTGCTGCTACATATCAGTGCTGAGTGGGAAACTCAAGCCGCTTCTGATCTCTTGCCGATTGCTACACCTCAGGAAATAATTCAACAATTAGAGGACGAAAAAAATATACATATAGTAAATTGAAATCTTTGGAACAAGAACATTGCTTTCTTTTTTCCATTTGCTCAACAAGCAATGTTAACCGCCTATGAGTCAAAGATAAAAAGTCTGTATTTATGAATACAGGGCTGATGCAATTTCAAATACCTTAAGAAACTGTATTATAATGGACAATATGGTTAGGTCAAACAGACTGTAGTATTATTCTGTATCTACTTTGGTTAAATAGAAAACCCTCACAGAGCAGTGTACAAATATGCAAAAAAACAAAACAAAAAATATGATGTAACACTAAAGGTAACCAAAATGGAGAAAAAAAATAAACATTTATTGTTATTGCTGTTTTGCCAAAAAATATGAACTGAAGAGTTAAACAATAAATGTCTAAATCAAGAAGCAAATGAGATATTCCCAAAACATTTCTCAATCTCTGATTGCTGAAGAGAGGAAACAAACCAACCTCTGCACTGATATATTTTTTTCAACTTTCATAACTAACAGAAAGGCTTTAGATGTGTTTAAATGGTGGATAAATGCAATCCCTTTCCTCTCTACTGTATTCAAACCCGCCAACTTAAAAATCACCCTGTACAAATATTTTTCTTTTACTATATTAAGGAAATAAATGCCTCCTTCAATTTTTTTCCCAGGCAGTAACATGCAACAGGTTGTTCAACAATAAGAAAAAAAAAAAAAAAAAACATCTGCCACTTCCCATCAGCACTCGGTCTACAATCATCCTGGCATGAAATACAGGAATTTAAGCAAGTGTTGGCTGTCGTTTTCTGTGCAAATTAGCTTTAGACAAAGATATTTCTGCATGAAATCAACAACATAATAAAAATAATAAAGATAGACATGTAGTTTTTTTTTTAACCCTTTTTGAAGTAAAATAAAACCTTTTAGTATAGTTAAACTTCAACTTCAGAGTCTTATTGTACGAAAATGTTTAATATTACACAACCGGTCACAGATTCAAATGGTGAAATGTGTTGAAACTTATGATGCAACAAACTTTAACAAAGAAATTCCTCACTAACAGCAAATTTGAGACAGAAACTAAAATCCATAGCTGCAAGAATTAAATGTAGATATGAGCAAGAATTAAATGTAGATATGAATAGGTGAAATTCAAATGATTCTCACTCCTTAGTCTTTCCCTCTGTCATAAAGTCCAGGCATCTAAAACCTTTTGATGAGTCCTTAGGCTCTAAAATTAGTGCTATAGTTGCAAATTCAATATACTACATTTACAGAAAAATTACAAAAGGTTTTCTAAAAGGTGCGATTTAAAGCAGGAGATATAAATCCTTAACATTGGAAAAAGGTGTTTAACTTGTAGACTGAATAAATGACCTCAATAAACACAACCATCACTATAAGCATGTATGTATTTAGGTTTGGATAAACAGGTGAAAAAGCAAAAAAAAAAAAAAACATATTCCTACAGACAAGCCAGATATTAGATATTACATCTTTAATCAATAAAATTGTATTTTTTTTTTTAGCAAATTTAAGGAGGTGTAAATTTCTTAGAAAGAGCAAATATCAGTAACATTAAATTATGAAACCTATAATCGGAGTAGAACAGTCATAAGCGAAACAAAAACTACTTTTCTCTAAACACCGGCAACTTTCGACTGCCTGGCAACGCAAACAGATGTAAAACATTGACAGCTTACTGTCAGGTGATCTGCTAAACCTCTGTCAGCATAAAGATCCGCTGCTTTCTGTTGCAGCCGGTCAAAAAAATAAATGTAAAAAAAAAATCAGCCCAACATTTTCAAAGTCCACCATCTCGAATTACAAACATGACATTTAAAAAAACGCAATGTGAGCAAATAAACAAACAAAAAAATAGAACAAAATAAATAGATTGACTCTTTTAAACTGTTTTCCGTGGCTCGGCTCGGTTTTCTTCCCTAGTTGGATTCGACCCAAACCGAGCCAAAGGCCGGCCTTGTTTTTTTTTTTCCCCTTTTACCAACCAGCTTCTTGAAAAAAAAAAAACAGACTCACACACACACTGCACCACCATTAGCGGTTTCAACATCAGGGTACACCGGACACCAAGCACAGAGACCTAACAAATGCACGGATGGTTGGCGTTTAAAAGTTACCTTTAAGGTTGGAAACACTCTGGAGAGGCGACTTCTATACCGTTTCGGAGCCGAGAGCGAGCTAACTAGCTGTTATTGTTCAGGACAGCCAAGTGGATTCGGCGTTACGTTAGCCAGCTAGCTCCCCGGAGCTCGACTGCTCGGCCAGCGTTAATTAGGCAACGAGTCGGCTCAAGTTGCCCCGAATTGTACCTCGGTATAAACACCAAAAATAAAACCTAACGTGAACTGACGAATGAAAATATGAATAAAAATAGTGAATTTGGCACTTTGCTAGAGAGCTAGCCTTCTTGCCTCCTAATCAGCTACCTATCAACTACCCAAAGATCAGCTTCTCCTTTCACTTCCTTCTCTAGAACTACGTCGGCGTCTGACGTAAGACGCAGCCCACCCATCTCATAAAAAACGCGCAAATAAAAATAAAAATCTATTAATTTGTAGGCTATATTAGAGAAATGATGTGCCATTCACAGCTTGGTAATTATCATATTCATGCGAGGTTACATTTATTGAATTTGTCATTTTGTCAGCTAATGCTCTTAAACAAAATAGCCTAAGGATTTTTTTTTTTTTGTAAAGACTAATACCGACCTCTTATTATTGCCTTATTACCTCATAAAAGTGAACACAATTACAGATGAAACATAGTTGAATATGTCCACTTTTCATATAAAAAATCCAACTCATTCAATTCTTCTATGAAATGAATTATGTGTGAGCAAAGACTATCACACAGAATTAAACAAATATAATTAATAATTATTTTTGTTTTATAATAGTAAGAAAAACAAAGTATATGGCTCCTGTGTTGTTGGATCAGGGTCACTTTGCAGCCATCATATAATTGCTTTGAGAGAAAGCGCACAATTAAATGAATGTTGTAAAAGTTGTTTGGAGTGAATATACTATATTTTTAAGCTGTGATATTCTGTCGTAGACTCAGAAGGCTGTGAAGAATAAAAAGGTTAGAATGTATTACATCAATAAACTACCTATCATAAAAAAGATAAAAAGGTTACACGTTATTTTCTAATTTAACAAAAATCATCCTTTATCTACCATCAGTGGCATTGTTAATCAATTTCAATTCTTGATCCGCATGAGTTTTTGTTTCCGCGGTTGACTAATGGAAACTAAACCACCATCACACGAATGGTCCTGTCTCACTTTGCATGTTCAACATTCAAGAGCTAAAACTTGAAGTTAAGCCTTATCTGATTGCAGATGAAGCAGCTACTCATAACATGAAGTCAAGTCAGGACATGCCTGAGTTTTACAGTGACATATCTGTAAAAGCTTGATTATGACAGCAGTCGACAAAGGAAAAGGATGGACTAAACGGAAAACCATTTTGTATTCAATACCATTGGCTTCTTTGTCTGTCATTTCACCCTTTAAAGGGCAAGTTACGTTTTTGGATTAGTTGCATACCCCTTACAAATGGAGTGAGGTCTACAAGCACAAGATCTATATTCAGCCATTCAGCAAAGATATTGCTATGTGGCTGTTCATATTATTTTGGCGTTTGACCAATTAGATGAACACTTGACTGATATATTACCCTTACTGTAAATTAAGCTGAAAAAAGTTAACAAGTCAAGAAAAAAAGGTAAAAAGCTAATTGAAACGTTAAAAAGTAACCTTAAAAAGTCAATAAGCCTAGTTAACAATTATATTTAGGTTTATAAACTAAAAAATGTAAGTGCCGGTATCAGCATTAATGCCTCTAAGGTTATGTTGGACCAAAAAAATGTTTCTTTCATTCTCAAAGTGTTTTTCATGAATTTCTGATAGAAGTACTTTTGTTATTTTTCTTATTATATTCAGACAAGTTGGTGTTTCTTGTTAATATATTGATATACATTTTTGTCATCAAAATATCCATATTTATTTGGACAAATATTGATATTTGGCTTTTGGATTTGGATTTTCAACGTATTTCACTGAGTGCCCTATAAAGGGTTAACAAGTAAACATATTTTAACAAAATGCTTCCTGGAAATCCACCATATCTTCTGAATTCTAATCCCCATCTTCTATATTTACTCCAACACCTGCTGCTTTATGAGGTCTGAATCATGGAGATTTGATTTGATTTGATTTTCCAGTAAGCTATTAAGTTAATTGCATCCCCAAAGCAGTGATAAATGTAAATGACTCAACTTTGAAAGTAGAATAGGCATTACATTCTTTCAAAATAAGGATCTAAAAGTATTAGGTCGAAATATTTTGAAATAGTTTTAACAATATGAGACACCGTTAGAACCACACTGCAATTACTTTTTTAAACCCTTATTGTAACTTCTGAAAGCTGATCTGTATTTAATAGTAAGGACCTTGATACTGCCATCTTTTTTCAGTTTTTGTTTAGTAAGTCAAAGTCAAAATATAATTTTGACTTTGTGATATAAAAGCTGAATAGAAGCAGGATCAAACATGGTAACAACAGTGGTCTAGTTTAATAATAGGCATATTAGAAGTAACACACCTTTGTTCAGGAATAAATATTTTAAGGATTATCTGCTTAATTCTTTCGATGCAGTGACTTATGAAAGAGGAAATAAAAGTGATCACTAGAGGTCAGTGTAAACTATGTTTTGGTTTTGGATTTTTTTCCTCCACATGCATGTTTGGACCTTGCTGACTAACAGAGAACTATGGGGAATTAAGATGTAACTTAAAAAGCACAAAGGTGATATATGTAAACAAATAATTGAACAAGCAAACAAGAGGAGACGTTACAATGTTTACATATCACAAACCCTTTGAAATATTGTTATAATTCATTTATTTAGTAAACTAGAAGTATAAACATGATTCAGCAGCACATAAATTGACCCATTCATGTGAAACAAGACAAAGCATAATATTTATTTCTTATGTTAGCAGAAAGAAATACAACCTTACATAGGCTGTAAATGCATGCAACATTTGCATAACAGTGGTCATGCAAGATTGTCGAATCGCAGGAAAGATAGCAACTTTTCCTTTTCCTGCAGATAAATAACGAGGAATACATTATCAACATACTCTGAAATAACCGTTAACTTTACATGTGTTTAAAATGTTCCAGTCAAAGTCCTAAATTCATTCGGTAATCTGAGGTAGGATTGGGAAACTGATGCTCACAGACATAATCAGGTTTGTCTGAGTTTGAGATATTTACAAAGAAGAATTAAGTGAGTTTTCAGATTTCAGATGCGCAAAGCTTTTAATAGGCTTGTTTTTACAGTAAGGTGTGTTTCTACAAAGTATTGAAAGGTGGGGTGGGCGGGGTGGGTCACACACATGGGTGCCTTAGTTCTCAAATTTGAATTGGTATAGCGTATTTCCCTTAACTCCATAATAATGTTATAGTTGTAACATAACAGAATGAAGAATTGCAGAGTTAGAACTACTTCTTGTGAGGCACTGTTGTTCAATCAATGCTATAACTTTTCCTGAGAAAACAAATGTATATCCTGAAAAAAAGTTGATAAATCATAATAAAAAAAAAGAAAATGTTAAGATGATTAACAGATGAAAATAAAAAATTAAAAACTTAAGATGCCTAAGACCAAAAAGAAAGTTGTATCTCTGACTTTTGAAAACAATTTTTGATTGTAAGCTTTGTCCCTCTTTTTCTGTTTTTACAAACTGGACTAATTATTTAATTGATGGGAAACATGTGTTAATGGTTGCTTACTGTATTAGATGAGAATGAACCTGTGCATCAGGCTCAGTGCTTTGTTGTCTTTAACAGGTGTTCATAAAGGCTTTCCCTGTATTTAGTTCCTTACATCGTCCCAATATCTCTGACCAGACTGTTTTCTCTTTTAATAAAACACAGCAAGATTCTGTTGACACCATGCATCACTTTGAAGTCTCAGTTTTCTGTATTTAGCATACAGATTGAAAAGCCTTTACGATGTTTGCTGTGTCCCCTACCAGTGACAGAGACCAGTAATCGAGTTAAGGGGGAGTGAGAGGTGATGGCATCCACCTTCTTAAAAAAACCATCCCCCTTCTTTCTTCTTTTTTTTTGAGTTTTTACGGCACTAGTGGCTTGTTTTTTCGCTCAGTAGGCTGACAGGAGAGGGGGTATGAGAGATGGGGAGAGACATGCGGCAAAGGACCACAGGTCGGATTTGAATCCGTACATGGGTTGTGCACGCTAACCACTGAGCCACCTGCACGGCCATGTTAAATGACCATCGCCCCATACCATCCCCTGTGAAATTTTATTACTGGTTGTGTAAAATTTCTACTATATATTAGCAGTAATGGCAATAATATTGCGCTTTCAACATTTGGTGAGTGTGGGCTAATGATTAGCCTGAGCAAAATAAATTAAATCAGAGAAGTGGCCTACCATCACTATGAAGCTGATCCCAGTGGGAAATTTGTCCTCTGCATTTGTCCCTAACTATGTGGGAGCAGTGATAGCCATGCCAGTCCAGGGACTGACTGCAGGTTTACTGTAAGGTGCCTTGCTCAAGGTCAATGAAAGGCGTACCTGACATGTAACAACCATACCATGCATATTACTTTAGGTTAACAGACTATGTTAATTAGGTTATGTGTGCTTAAAAAAAAATCCACCATCCCCCTCCTTTAAAAAAAATAAAAATAAAAACTAGACTACTGGTGGAGACAATTTTCATAGGGGTGGCCAAAAACAAATACCTGGCAGTACCAGTTTAGGCACAATCTACACTAATCACACTGTACCAATAGGAAAATGAACAGGCATAACTTAAATAAATAAATAACTAAAGACAGAATAGATTGTCACAAGGCATTTATTTTAAATCTATACACTAAGGGAGGGCGATATATGGCTAATCTAATCTAATCTAATCTCTTATTTTCTTTTCTACCAAATCCAATTAAGCGATTTGCTTGTCCCGTACGTTTTGCAATAAAAATGACAAATGACATATGCTTGTAAAACAATGTTTCACAGCAAGGATATAAAATACAACTCACTAAATGTTAGTAGTTTATCAATTATACGAATAAATCTAGGAACAAAAAGTTTGGAACTGATACTTCTGAGCTACGAATGCCAGAGAATTGCATTGGCGGAAAATAATAAAATACAGGTTTGCCAAAAAATTAAATTATTAATAAACAGAACATTTAATAAATCAATTGAATCAAATAATCACCCAGGCGTTCAACACGCATTTTTCTACATCTGCAGAGTGCGATGCAATAATTTACAAATCTGCATGACATACAAATTAAGTTATGACTTTCCCTTCTCCACAATAAAACACACAATCTAGATTTAGATTAAAAACCAGTAAGCGCAATTCTGTATTTGTTATTTTCAATGCAAGTATGTTGATATGAATAATTAATTCTACCACTTTGTTTGCTTTTAGTTTATTTATAATAAACTAACTAAAATGTCAAATTACTTATCACATTACCCTCGACAGTATCACTGCTGTTTTAGATCAAAACTGTTTGATCTGGAGGCGTTAAATTACATCCACATAGGAACAACAAAACACCTGGTAGTAATGGCCAACAAGTGGCCGGGGCTGGTCATGGCCACCCCTGGCCACCTCTTAGCTCTGCCCCTGCCGCTACATATCTTTTTAAAATACCAAACTAGACTGTCACCTATTAATTTATATTCTCTTAGAAATCTGTGGCTCCACTGCTGAATTCATTGCACACAGATAGACTCTTGTTACACAGGTGACTTTAGAGAGCTTAGGATGATGCATTTAAGTGGTATCAAAGTAAAGAGAGCTGAATTCAAATGCACATTTTTTTTTTTTTTGAGTTTTATAAAATCTTACATACTTTGTGTTTATCCATCAGACATAATCCTTATGAGATACAATGAAGTTTCTGATTTTTATCAGGTCAAAACATAAAAATTAAATTTGAAGGATTTAACATACTTTCACAAGGCTCTTTTTTTCTTACACACTCCTTAATTAGATTTAGATTATTATGATACTCATTTCACATTACATAATAAAATGACCCATTATATTTGGAAACAAAATGGAAATATAAAATCCATCCAACGCTTAGAGTTAACTGGGCACAAAGCAGGGTGCACCCTGGACAGGTCACCAGTTAATCACAGAGACAGATAAAACAAGGGACATACAGCTATACCAGGGGGATTTAGATCGACAAATTCGCTGCCATGTTTCCAGGTAACTGGAAAACTGGGAAGGACATGTAAACTGCCTGGATTTAAATCCCACAACTTCTTTTTCTGCAAGGCATACAGTATGTCCCAACAGGTGCACCAGTATCAATGGATTGATATCTATGTCTAAATCTGTCTCTTTTCTACGCTCAGATATGAGATATCAGAGTATGATACATTTTCCTGTTTCCCCTTCACCATGTCACTAAATGTCTTGCTAAATCTCGAGTCCTGAAATTTGTTTTAAAAATCTAAAAAAAAAAACAAAAAAACAATCCACTTGAGTTTGTTTCCAAGTTTGAAGTCTTTTAAAACGGTTAACATGATGATGATCTAATTTCTCATCTTCAGCCATCCTAACGGATGTTTTTCTTAATCCCTCCTGAGTATTCATCAGCCAAGAGTGAACGCACCTCTCCATGTTTACTCTCCTTATTACTGGGTGTGTGGTTCTGCAGAATCTTGATGATTAGGATGACTTTGGTGTTTGGAGAAGGATTCCTGTCTTCTTGTACCTTTTATGGCTTCTTTGGAATTTACTTTGTAAACAAAAATGGCACACAGGCCATGCAACAGGACAGGATACTGGAAGCATCCGTCCCAAATAATGGCCAAGGTGAGGGGTGGGAGATGCTGGCTCAAATTTCATAAATGAGATGGGTCTCCATTCATATTTCCATTATAAGTTCAAGAAAAATGTGGAAAAAAATGTGTGTAAACATGCATCTCTGTGTGTGGCAAAGTGGGAGTGTAGGTTGCTGAGATGAAGAGATGGTGTGTGAGTGTGGGGTGTAGGTTTGTGTGTGTGTTGGGGGTGGGTGCATCAGTCCGTGTCAGACAGCAAAGAGTGCTGCATTTATCTAGGAATCTGAGCCAAAGTAGCCTCGCAAACACAGAACAGGCAGGACTAAGAGGAGGATGACAACTGACATGAACTGAAGAAGAAAGACAGAAAGGAAATCTGGATAAAAAAGATCAACATTACAAAGATCTGAACAAAAAGGAGGAGAATATCTATGGTTTTTACAGAAAGAGACACATCTTGGACCATGAGAGAATAGAAGAAATATTTTTTCAGGGAATAAATAACAGAAAGACATTGCAGCATCTGGACCGTGGTTCCGGCTTTAAACTTTTTTTCTCATGATTTCTTCCAACTCTCTCAGGATGCTTCCTTTGCTGTCCCTGTATGTGGGAGCTCTGCTGTTCTCAGATGCATCTCCGCCCTGCTTACATCCACCTTGCAGGGAAAGTTTAGTGGCAACATCTGCTTCACTGGGTCCAGAAGAAACAGTGACTACCAGGGCCTGCGAGGGTCAAGCTGGGAGAAGTGGATGCAGCTTGGGTGCTTCCGTTCTTGCTGTCTCAGACGGTCCTCAAAGGGCTGAGCAAAGAACACTGACTGAGTTTCCTCAGATTGAGTTTAATGTAAGTGGAACAGCCCTACCACAGGACTGCATCAGGAGACAGAATTACTAGAAAATTGTTTTCATTTTGCAAATCTTTTATCGTGTAAATATGCAACTTTATTTTCTTGATGTGTCTGGGTTAGGCAGACCTGAGACCTCTGAGTGTACTTTCCAGGGAGAGTAAGTGGCTTACTATCAGGGCACAGGCCATAGACACTAAACTTGGCACTGCCACACAGCCACCGAGAAATAACTGTCGGCGATCAAAGAGGGGATAAAATTAGGACTGTTTTAAAAATGTCTCATCATATGGTTGTACTGAGCTCATGCAGCAACAGGTGCTGGGGACCTGATCACAATCGGTGACATGAGTGTGAAAGACAGAAACCCAAGCCATTAGTTTGGGGATTAATAGCTGGAATGCCATGTCTTACTGACTAAGGGGTTGTCTTCACACATAGTGGTAAATTTCAGCTTTTTTTTCCATAAATAACATCAGTCTGAAATGATTAGACAATGCTAGGCTGTGTTTGCTGAATATATAGAAAACTGTCATTACTTTCCACTTTATGATTAGGCACACATACCAAAGTGTGTGTAATGTATTTTATGGCAAAAGTGACCCTATTTCTATTATTTGCATGACAAAATATATAAATCTATATTTCATATTGGTATTTTGAAAGTTTCCTGATAATTTCACAGATTTTATACAATTGTCTTTCACATTGTTTACTTTATTTTGCTGAATAAGAATCTCCTTATCAATCTACCAAACAGGTCATTTACCATGCAGCCATAATTCCTGTTAACCTATAAGAACTGACTTGCAGACTGGAGGTGTCAAAGAGCGCCTGGTTCAGCTGCAGCGCTGCATGGGCTCTCTCCAAGAATCAGGAGGCCCGTGGCGTGATGGGGAGCAGGAAAACAGCTCTCTGGGAGCCATCCTGGCACTAATGGCGGCTGTGCTGACTGAGTGTGACCTCCGCTGTCACAGCCAAGCACTTGGGGCGATGGCCAAGAGACTAGGTGGGTCGCACAGGCACACAAGAAAGATACACATCTAAACACACAAATGCAGTATGCAATAATACCGGTGCAGTCACTCCTTCTCAGATTGTAAACAATTGTCTGCAAAATGTCATAGGTGAGTGCACAGGAATTTAACTCTGTGAGGAAGGCAAAACAAACTTTTAACACACGACATAATACCTGCCTCTGTTGCTTAAAAGGACATCCAATTTCCCCTGCCCTTTCATCAGTTCAAGAGTTATTAAAGATTTCACAAAACTCTTTGATTTCTACCAATAATTAAACCAAGACAACTCTTGAACTCATGAAGGTTCAGTACTCTGCAGTACTCTCAAGTCTTGCCTATCTTTTTCGTGCATCTTACCTTTAAAAATCTAGACTTCCAATAAGTGTTATTTTTTCATAGAATTGTTCAGATATTGGATTTTTTTTTCAGTTTTTGTGATGGATCTCATTTTATTTTTAAACTCACCTTTAATCTATCAGCACTTTTTGTTTAAACAACTTTTTCATAAAAAAACAAAAAAATGCTTAAATAGTTCCTAAACTCAAAGGATCCTAGTGATGTCACACTGCAAACAACTTACAAAAAAACACTAAATTCTCTCTTTGCACCCTCCTCTCTGATTTCTTAAGCCTAACCTCTTGCTACCTGTGATGTTACTCTTAACTTACCAGCTATACTGATACTGTGAAGTTTCTCTCGGTTCTCAGAGAGTGCGACATTGGGCAGCAGAGAAGGTGAAAAAGACCTGCTGCTTTTCCTAAGGAGCATCACACAGTTTCCAACTACAGGTGAGGGGAGTTTTTATGTCTAAACGTGTGAGTTGTGCTCTATTGAGGTCAATAGAAATGTGTCCTTTGTGGCTTCAGCTGCTCCCATGGAGAGGTTACACCCACAGGACTGTGCAGAAATCTACAGACTTGGGATCAAAGAAACTGGTGTTTATACAATCCAACCTGATCTGAATGGACCATCAATAGAGGTATTTCTAACCTGCTGTTATAATGAAATGCTTTCTACAAAAAGCTTAGAGCAGAGGTCTTCAACAGGGGGTCCGCGACCCCTAGGGGGTCCGCGGAGGTACTGCATGGGGGTCGCGAAAGTCCTGGTTGATTACTTTTTTTAATATTCCCTCCTGCAATTTTATTGCACTAATTAAAATGTCTTTAAATACACATTAACATGAAATCAACACACTGTAGTAAACAGATAAATGAAAGCAGAAGATGTCTTTCAGTCATCAATGCACACATTCAGCGACACACAGGAGCTCTTTCAAACCTGGGCACCGTTTCATTCACAACACCTGTCCCATCAACCAGGAATCAGAATTAGAAATACTTTAATAATCCCAGGGAGAAATTACTTTCGTTACATGACTCCATATGTAATAGAGTGACTATAGGACCAGTTTGATATAACACAATTTCATACAATATATATAATTAGGGGGTCCCCGCTCCATCTCGCAATCAGTTTGGGGGTCCTTGGCTTTGAAAACGTTGAAGACCCCTGGCTTAGAGTCATCTGTGGAAATGAATGAAAATCATACCAGTCTTTGCTTTGGCCCAGGCTAAATGTGACATGGAGACAGCGGGCGGAGGGTGGACTGTGATTCAGACTCGGCAGGATGGCTCGGTGGACTTCAACAGGACTTGGCAGGAATACAAGGAGGGCTTTGGTAGTCTGCAGGGGGAGCACTGGCTGGGGAACGCAGCACTGCATGCTCTCACCTCCACTGGTCAACATCAGCTCCGCGTTGAGTTGGAAGACTGGTACCAACAGAAGAGACAGGCAACCTACAGCAACTTCAAGGTGGCCTCAGAGGCAGATAGGTAAACAGCAATGCAGAAACTGACTCAAAATAACATGAATGACCTTACTGAATCAGGAATTTCAGTGTTTTATTCTTTTAGACCAAAAAGAGACCCAAAATGAAATGATTTTTCTTTTAATGTCTAATACAAATATAAGATCCTCATATATTGCAAAGGTAAGATTATAGCTGTATGAAAGACCCAACGCTGTTAACAAAAGATGGTTCTGCATGAAATTCTCACATATCCTAAAAAGAAAGAAAGAAAAAGTTTGGTGCAACATTAAAGGAAAAGTCGGTTCAGCAAGGAATAATCAATGGATCATTATCTATACCCAAAACTAATATGTTCGCAGTCATTTAATAAATTTAGCGTTGATCCGTAAAAAAATTAAAATAATAATTTTTGTCGCGATCACTAAGTCACTGGCCACTTTTGCCCAAATATAGTAACACCTCACCTCCGACATCTTCCGGCAGTGATGTCATGGTGACTTGGATAATAGCGCGTTGTGACAAACAGAGTGTTGGGACTTGATCAACAGCCGATACCACACTATCCTGTCACAAACCGGTAGGTGGCAGTAGTGTTCTTTGACAAACATGGATGTCTCCGGTAAAGCACATTCAAATGAAAATTACTCTTAATTTAAAACTTTTATTTTTCTCAACAGCATCTAATTTCATATTAAAGTACTTTCAGAAGTTTGAATTCTGAATATGGCCTGACTTTTCTCTTAAGGCCTGACCTTTAAGCAGTTGTAATCTTAACAACTCAGAAACTGCAGATGTTAACAGTTTTATACTGACCAAACATCATCAGGCTGCAACTATAGAAACATGATAGAATAGATCAGAATAGAATAGAATAGAATAGAAAATCCCTTGATTGTCGCTGATGAAGGTTCTCAGTCATCCAGGTCATAGTCATCCCGTAAAAATTCAAAAAATATCCACTGGACTTGGTTTTCAAGATTTGAAGACGTTTCGCCACCTCTCCAGGAAGCTTTCTCAATTCAAATGTCTGGATCCGCAGTGAGTTTGAGTCTTATATAGACAACGCCTTGTATCGCTTGGAAACATGCAATGGTAACCGATGAATGGGTCGTTAGTTCCACCGTTAGCCTGTAATATCTGAACCTGTCTATGAACCTGTCTTTAACGACCGACCCCTAGAATCATAGACAGGCTCAGATATTACAGGCTAACGATGGAACTAACGACCCATTCATCGGTTACCATTGCATGTTTCCAAGCGATACAAGGCGTTGTCTATATAAGACTCAAACTCACTGCGGATCCAGACATTTGAATTGAGAAAGCTTCCTGGAGAGGTGGCGAAACGTCTTCAAATCTTGAAAACCAAGTCCAGTGGATATTTTTTGAATTTTTACGGGATCCCTTGATTGTCCCACAATGGGGAAAGGCTGGTATTTACAGAAGCAAAAAGATTATAGGAAAAAGTAGTCTAACAAATATGGACCTTAGAAAAATGTATAAGAATAACATAATAGTGAAGAGTTAAAAGATAAATGTAAGTTAAAAGATAGGAGCTACAGTATCACAAATGTTCATGATCAAATGCATTAATACCCCTTTCACCTTTTCAAATTTTATCTTGTTTCATCACAAACATCATTGAATATTATTTTGATTTTCTGTCATAGACAGAAGAACCTCTGAACACACAACTCTAATAAGTGTGACAGTTATATATTTTCTTCTGGCCTTGAATGAAAAAGGTTTAGAGCAACATGTTCCTGTATTTACAGGTTTACAGCTGCAGGGTTGCTTGGAGTATATAGTATCTCTGATGTGGCTTTGCACATTTATAGATTAAAGTGTTTTTCACTTTTTGTTTTGCAAAATAGCACAAGCTCAGTCAGACTGAATGAATTCATTTCCAAGTATTTTCAAAGAGTTCCTTCCATTACATCAGCCAAGCTTTCCCGTTCCTGCTGAATGAAAAAAGAACTTTCCACAGCCTGATGCTGCCCCTGCAACATTACAAGGATTCCAGGGTTTTGTTTTGTAAAGTAGCCAATAGCATTTAGTCTGGAGGCCAAATAGTTCAGATTTGGTCTCTCCAAACAACAGCACTCACTTCCACAGGTCTGGCGTTTTTCATATGTTGCTCTTGGGAAAGTGTAAGGAAAAGGAATGTTTCGAGGCTTTTTTCCAAATAGCTTGATTTTTCAAATCTGTTGTCGAATTGGATTTTTTTTATGCACCAGTCTTTAAGGTCTTGTCAACAGATACTTCCAGTTTAGCTATCATGTCTGCAGCTCTTCCAGAGTAAATGTTCTCCATATCAGGCCATTCAGTTTAAGAGGACGTCCATTTTTTTGGGATGACGCTTTCAGTTGTTTCATAGCGTTATAGTTCTTCATGATTTCACTCCGGCTGCCTCCCACACTCCAAAAACATAACTGTTAGGTTAATTGGCTTCTCTAAAATCCTCCTTAGGTGTGAGTGTGTGCGTAAAATGTTGTTTGTCCTGTCTGTCTCTATGTTGCCCTGCGATGGACAGGTGACCTGTCCAGGGTGGACCCCGCCTCTCGCCCATAGACAGCTGGAGATAGGCACCAGCACCCCTCACAACCCCACTCAGGATAAAGCGTGTCAGAAAATGGATGGATGGATAGTTTGGTTAGAGCCACAATGAAGGGCCCAAATGCTGCTTTTGGTAGTACTTGCACTAAAAAATAAAAACTGTTTAATAATCTGCATCTTCTCTCCCAGATATCGCCTGACAGCCCACGAGTACTCCGGTAATGCTGGCAATGCTATAAGCTACAGCAAGCACTACAACCATGATGGCAGGCCTTTCAGCACCGCCGACAGGGACCACGATCGCTATGCCTCTGGAAACTGCGGGCAGTACTATGGTGCAGGCTGGTGGTTTGATGCCTGCTTGGCAGCAAACCTAAATGGCCGCTATTACCATGGGCGTTACACTGGTTTAACCAATGGGATCTACTGGGGGACATGGTACATCCTGACAGATGGAAGGACTGGTGAACGCTACTCCTTCAAGAGGGTGGAGATGAAGACGAGACCCAAAACCTTTGGGGGAACCAAATGACGACTAAACAATCCAATTTGAGAAGGTTCACTGTATAAATAGGATTGCCTTTGATTTTACAGATGACCTTTCAAAACAACTTTCTGCTAAAATTAACATGGATTTTAATAGATAGAATATAGAAAATATATATATAGACTTTCAACTTTATGTTTTGTCACTCAATTAAAAACAATTAAAAACCTCAACGTGTGTCATTAGGAATTTGAGTATGGCAACTCAGCTGGAAGTGTCAGATGGCTGTGATATGGATAGAAAAATTGTTTTTCATTAGTACAACGTTTAGGCTTTGAGAAGAACCTTTTACCACATAAAATGTTTTGTTTTAAACCTTTTCTTCCTGCATTTAACTTTTAACTAATCCACCTGATCCCACTGATCTCTAACCCTGTTTTCAGTCAAGGCTGAGGAAAACATCCCCTCAGCATAATGCTACCTCCTTGTTTCACCGTGTGTCAAAGGTGGTGTCTTTTTAAAGTGTTGAAAGATGTAAATTAAGTAAGGTTTTGAACCATCAACTTGGTTCTAGAGAGTGATTGCTTCTTATATGGCCAACCAGCCAGCAGTTGGAAAAGAAGCTTAATGTCTTGAAAGAAACTGCCTGATTTCACCTCCCTACTATTTATTCAAAAATTTCTTATAACCATGGACATGCAAACTCGACCTTAGTGGTGAGCAATAATGTTTGCAAGCATTCTTGACTGATCACCTCTTCTGGTTTTCCAACTGGGGAATAGGAGGATATCTTAAATATTTTTATTCAAACCAGTTTATATTTTATTTGTTTTGTTTGAATTTATTTGTGACAGTGCGGCATCTGTATTAGCAACTGGATGGAAATGCCTGTTTTACTTTATTCTTGTCTCCTTTATGGTCAGATGTGGCTGAAATCACACATTCAATGCCATGTTGTAAGAAAGCAGCCAACTAAAAATGCAGACTGAGGTCAAGAGTAGTGTAATTAATTTGAAGGTTTTAATGAAAAATAAGTAATAAAACTTAAAGCATAACACCTGAATGAACCCTGCACGGCAAATCCCAAATGGCGAAAATAACAGTTTATGGTAACAACTATAAAAACTACAGATGAAAACCAAAATGTTTACAATTGAATTAAAATGGTGATGTGGTATAAAGAGTGTAAAAAAATAGAATAAGCGAATAAGAAATTATCAAATGCTCTACTGTAAATGATGTTTGATATGATGATGAGACTGTAAGGTTATCATTATAACACTGTATATTAGCTTTCTAAAGTCCATATATTTAATATTTTTAAACATACCAGAGGTGAAGGATCGAGAACATAATTTATGTCATTAATTCAATATAAACATGTATTATTTTGTAACAGTATACTATATTATACAATTAAGATTTCAAAGAGGGGTGTACAGACACACTATTATTATTAGTATTTATATATAAATACTACAAAAATGACATATAAAGTATTAACTAATCTAAAGTTCATTTAAACTTAACCAAAAGAAGCACACAAGGATTAGATGAAAATAGTAAAAGGCGTAATTTAAAAAAAAACAACCCAGAAACATATCGTTGTTATAAATAAATTAAATTATAAAAAATCGGTTCGGTAAAAAAAAATCTGATGAAAAAAACAAAAGAAAAGAAGTTCCCAACTTTGTTTAAAATGAAGATAGTAACAGGAAAAACTAAAGGCTGTGCTTTTTATTCTGGTCCTGGAAATTTAAAAAAAGTAAGAGATTAATTAAAAAATTAAAAAACTACTCCAATGACTTCACAAACTGCACAGTTATTACAAAGTGCTAATAGGTTTAATAATGTTATTGAAACTCATTTATGAGGTTTGTTGTGCATCAGTAGAACCCGTCTAAAAGCTCAATTTTTTTTTAAAATGAAGTGTTGTCCAGTTCCCCCACCTCATCCATCTAATACCCCTCCATGTCCAGGTCTTGACACACTGATATTGGCCCTCGGGAGCTTCGCCCCATCATCTCAGAATCCTCCTTCCATTCACAAGCCTCAAAAAACACACTGACACAAAATCAGCCTCACTTGTTATCTAGAGGCCTGCCGTTTCCTTCTTAACTGTGCTTCTCTAAGCCTTTTGTGTGTGTACAGCATTTTGCACACATACACCCCCCCAAAGAACACCCCCAGATTCATCTCTCTCTCTCAACAGAAGATTTGAAAGATATGCTTGGCTCCATGGAGATAAAGAGGCCCTATTGTACACATAATGGTGCGTTAATTATTGTTAAACATCCATAAGCTCCTTTTGCTCTGTTCTCTGTGTTACACTACAGAAACACACACCAGTACACACTGTCCCACACACACAGTGGTTAACTATAGGCAATCAAGATCAGTCACCCCTGACAGGCATAAGACGTATCAGTTTTCTGCTTTGATTTTGTTGTGTGTGAATCTTTTTTGTGCAGTGTTGTGTCACCAGATAATATACAGGTCTAATGTGTCACTATATCCTGTTCTGCCCCCTAGTGGCCACTGATGTCTCTGAAGAATTTGAGTCCAGCTTTTTCAATCAAGTCAGCTGATGAAATTAAGTATCAAATCAGATTGAAATAATTATTTATCTTTTTCTCTGATTCAGCTATTTGTTGTGGTAGATTACTTTCCCTTTAATAGCCCATGCCTATAATGAAGTGATTTAAGTCTTTGGTTATTACGCAGGCTATCCAGGTTTGTATCCATATTGTGTCAGGAAGGGAATCTAATGTAAAAATGCTGCCAAGCTAAAGACCTTAAGATCCACTTCTCTGAGTATTGAATGAGTAAACAATTATTTATTGGGGAGAAAATAAATAAAAAGAAACAAACCCTGCACTACATTGTTTACGTCAACCTCATTAACTCCCTCAAAACAAATTGACGTTATTGGTTGAGTGCAGTAACATGTATGTAGAGACACTATATTTCCCTTGGGATAAAGCATTTTTGTATAGAACTGTGTTTGATTAAAGCAATTTAAGTGATATGAAGCATATATTAAATTTATTTTTTCAATAAAATGTAAGTGGAAATTAACTATGAAGAATGTCTCGCAATCCTGAACTGTAGTACTTCTTTTCACCACTAGGAGCTCTATAATTGATGTTGTAGGTCAAAGGGCAAACAATGTTCACAGTTGCAACAGTTAGAGATGTATCAGCGAGGATATGTTAGATGGGAATATAAGTTTAGGTGATACATCAGCAGAAATTAGTGAAAACATGAAGAATATGTGCAGAAAACTGTTTGGAGATGTGACAGCACAGAAGAGGCGGTAGGAAGATGGAAAAAAAATTTTCACTCTTCAATGACCTGCTCTTGCTCTGATAAGGGAGCATATGACAGCTGTCAGGGCCAAGGATGGAGAGGAAAACCAGGGTGTGGGGAGGAAGCAGGACCCAGTGAGGTTTGAAAGGTGTCTAAGTGTAATGGGCCGTTAGGGCCTCCCCTTCCCTGACCACAGGACCACCGAGAGAGACAGCGTGTGCCTGCTTTTAATACTGATCCTGCAGAAAACCAGAGCAAGGCAGCGTTCCGTTTGAAACCGGAATTCAGAAGAACAAGTGTATCCTGATGTGGTGAGGAGCTGGGAGGGGAGGAGGGTGAGAGCAGGGGTGAAGACACAGAAGGCGCCATGTGGCAGGCCTCAGTCCAGGTCTTGTCTGAATATAAATGTTAAAATGAAGGATCTGCAGGAGAGGGGAGGAGCCAGTGGCTATGCTGTGGCTAAAGCAACAAATTCATTTCTAATGATCAGTAATGTTTACATTATTAACACTAACTGTAAGGAAGATGAACGGTCTGAGATAGCAGAGAGGTTCACAACTTCATAGGGGTAATTAATGGTGTGCAACTTCCAGCTTTTTATATACACTCAGTCAGTTTTAACTCCTTTAATTGTTCACATATCTTATATGTTGCTTCCTAACTGTCTGACTATAATCCAACTTAGGCAGCTCCAAACTGGTATTTAAATATTCAGTAATTATTTTTTCATGGCTTTTCCCAGCTCCAGGTCTGATCAAGTGAGCTATCTTGTCTTTATATTCAATTACAAGAACTTTGAAACTAATTACCAACTATTTGGTGTCAGCCAGTTGTGGAAAATAATAAATTTGCCATTTGAGGAAAATGATTTCCCGGAAGCATCGTCATAAAAATTGCCTCAGTGAGATTAGAAGCTGAAAACTCACATCATCTTGAGAAAAATATTGATATCTGTTCCACTTTTTCACAATCTTTAATTTCATAAAAACACATTTTTATGTATTTTATTTTAGTTTATGTGCCACTCATGACTTAAATAATAATAAACTCTCTAAGTGATTAATAAAAGTTTAGAGGGTCTTACCTTTGATCATTATATATCATGCTACAGAGAATAAAGTCAAGCCTTGCTAAAGGAAATATATGAAAACACATACAAGCCTATATAAAAACTGGACATTTTTCCCCTATTCCCCATTTGCCAAGAAGTTTGCAACAAACACTAAATATGTTCACATTTGACACTGCTCCCCTTTTTGAAATATAAACTTGAAAAAAAAGGAGTGAGAGGCTAACTATGCCTGTAAGCGGAATTCTCATGGCATCTGTGAGTTCAATAACAACACAATCCATTGTTCAAGTCCAATCCACACGGAGTCAGCCAATCACATTGCAGTATTATGGTTTAAGGTGGAACATAAGGCTTGTGACAAAAGCTTCTGAGCTCACAGCCAAACCAAAATAAACATGGCAGCACAGGAGGACTTATGCATAGTTGCTGATATCACATCTGTTTTGACAGACTCCACCATTAAATACTGTATTTGAAAGAGGAACAACAACAGCATAAAAGCATAAGTTGCTGTGGTTTCTCATGTCGGCTATTGCTGTATAATTTGTTAACATGATTGGCTAAAACCAAACTTTGGTAGGTGGGCAAGAGGTGGCGTTTCCACTGTACATTCCTCCTTTCCCTGAAAAGATTTGATCAGGGCAGTCCCAGATTATACCGGTAATGTGTACAACCAAACCTGAGTGTCGGACATTATCAATATGGCATACCAGGTTAGTAAGAATGAAGATTATTGTTCCCAAAAAAATTATGGAAATGTTGCCAAAGACGTGGGGGAGAATGTTTTAAAGTATGACCAAAAACTCACGGTCCCAAAAGATTTGTTTAGTACCAGAACAGCAGTTCACATATTCAAAGGCACACCACATCCACACTGAAACATAGTGGTGGCTGTATGATGCCCTGGGATTACCCTTCTTCATATGGGGCTTTCTATTTTATGAAATTCAACAGTTATGGATAATTGCACACAGTAGTAAGTTTTGATCTAGAATTCCTCAAATGTCTGTTAGAAAGCCTAGAAAGATTCAATATGTATGCATTCAATATAACCAAATCAACAAATTAAGAGACAAAATGTAAATTTAACAAATCCAAATTAGATTTAACAGAATATAGTAACAGTAACAGTGTACTCTCGCCCGTAGACAGTTGGAGATAGGCACCAGCACCCCTCGCAAACCCAGCTGGGGTAAAGGATGATGGAAAATGGATGGATGGTAACAGTCATCTGCATATGTCTGCGGCAGGGGTTGTCTTCACAACCAGAGTTGATGGGAAAATAAGTATGGTGACCATCCATCCATCCATTATCTGAGTGGGGTCGTGAGGGGTGCTGATGCCTATCTCCAGCAGTCAATGGGCGAGAGGAGGGGTACACCCTGGAAAGGTCGCCAGTCCATCGCAGGGCAACAAAAAGACAAACAACCATTTAGCACACACACACCTAAGGACAATTTAGAGAAGCCAATTAACCTAACAGTCATTTTTTTGGACTGTGGGAGGAAGCTGGAGTACCCGGGGAGAACCCACACATGTTCAGGGAGAACATGCAAACTCGATGCAGAAAAACCCAGGGCCGGGAATCGAACCCAGAAAATTCTTGCTGCAAGGCAGCAGTGCTACCCACTGCGCCACTGCGCAGCCCAAACTTTGACCGGCAAACACTAAAAGATCAAATTAAATGAGAGTGCGTCTTAAATCATTAGTTTGATGGTGTCCTCATTCCATATTAGTTTTTTAGTTGAATCAAACCTGAAAATACCAAATATAATTTTATAAAAGGATTATTATCTAATATATTTTACCAATAAAACTTTAAAGAACAGCTGTTAGTATTGACCTTTCCCTTATTTCCCGCTTTACTGTTTTTTATTTTTCCCTTGGTGAATCCTGTATTAATCCTTTGAGTGTATTAGGTC